GGTCCCGCCTCAGCGCCCCGCCGCCGCCGCCGCCGCGCCCGGCCTCTGCGGCGTCGGCGCCGGCCGGCAAGCTCTCGTTCGACTTCTCGTCCCTGGGCGACGGGCCCACGCCGCGCGACCGCTCCGACCCCTTCTACGCCCACTCCCTGTCCGACTGGGAGCTGGAGCAGCGCCTGGACGAGCTGCGCGCCGGGCCGGCGTGGTTCAGGGCGAAGGAGGAGGGCGCCGGCTGCTGCTGCTGCGGCGGCGGCGGCGGTGGCACTGATGGTGGTGATGATTGTTACGACGAATACGGCGCTTATGGCTGCGGCATGGACAACCTTTACGGCGGCGAGGGGGAGCGCCTGCCGCCGCACGAAGAGTACGCTGCTGCCAGGCTGGGAGAGAAGATACCGGCCGGGTGCGGTCCAAGGCTGGGGAGTGATGGGTTCTTTGACGGCGATGCCGGATATCAGAGCTCCCTCGACTGAAGCATTCTCTGCGTTCTCTGGACTGCGATACTAAAGGCTTTGTTTTGTTTTTTTCCTCTTCTTTCTTCACACCCCTTCCTGTTTCACATCGGCTGTTTACCCACTGCGCTTTTCCTCTGACCTTCTTCAACAATCTACGCGAGTGTGTGAGACGGAAGCAAGTTTAGGTTCGCTGTTGTTTTTTATTCGTCCATGTTGGAATTGCTAGATATGTATATACACACACCGGACCGGCAAGAGACCTCACAGGGTGTCTACCATCCAGCGAGATGAGTAACGATGCATAGGTACCTAGGCAGCTCTTGATGAACGAAATCAGTGTCAGACAAAGTTCCCACCTAGGTCGGGTTGCTCCACAGACCTTTTTCACTTCCACTGGACTTCATTACCAGGAATGATGTCGGAAAAGAAGCAGGCCTCTTGCCGTACCGGATGCCGAGAATTATGCAGACAATAGGACCAGATGTTGCAGAAAGTATCGAGTGATATACGGGATATGAAAGGATACATGAATACTTGAAGCCAAAAAGGGACAACATAGGGAATGATAACTGGGAGAAACTAATGGGCAGGAATACTTCGGTAGAGGGGGGTAGTTGAAAGGAGAAGAGTAAGGGACGCTAAAGCAAGCGACCGCCGAGATGGGTTTGTGGGCTGTCCACTGACACCAAGACGTTCTGGCAGCCAGATAAAACATATGAGGCTATAATTGGTGGCCACAAAACAAATCCTGTTCCCCAACTCAGGGTGTGAACGCACAATGTGATAGCAAATTCGCTTCTGTATGTCTATCTACCTGCTCTCCAAGATCTTTACTACTCCTAAACGCCATGAGGAATCCGCACCACCTAGAAGCGCGCTGATTATGTCTTCTTGTCCTGTCGCTTAACCGCCCCCTTGTGACAAACAGGATACAGGTTGCCCTACCCTGTGCATTTCCATCCTTGTCTCCCCTCAAGTACGCCACGAGCGACATCAGGTAGTGGAACGATCAAATCACAAAAGGCTAACACAAACCCCAATCTAGTCGGACATAAAAGAAAGGGAGGAGAGGATACAAGATTAAGAGAGAGAGAGAGAGGGAGAGACACGTAGTGAAGGAGGGATATCAGTGGAACAAAAGCCAGATACTGCCTTGCAAGAACCTCGCAGTAAAAACGCTGAAACTCCAGGCCGCTTTTAACCCACATAATATCCCATTTAATTAACTCCAGGTCGTTTTCGGCAACATGTCTAGAAATCCAAGAGTTCAAATGGTCAAATAGATGATGTATCAAAAAAAAAAAAAAAAATAGGTAGCAGGCAGACCCGCAGTGTACCTGACTAGGCCTAGTCGTGGATGACAGCATCCTCTTAATGCTGCGCCCAACCAGCCTTCACGGCAGGATGAATCGGCGTCGCAAACACCGAGCTATTGGAGGAGTGCGGCGACGGCGGGCCCGCCGGACCATCGGCATCTTGAGTCGCCGGCACCTGTGTGGGTGGGATTTGCGAGGCCGGCGGCGCGCTGGCAGCCCCCTCCCTCCTCAACGGGGCCATAGCCCGCACAGCCTCGGTCCGCAGCGCCTCAAAGACACGCGAGCGGTGACGCTCGACCTCGACGTTGCGCACACGCCGCGCCGAGTCGCGGGCCGCGGCCAAGTGGAGTCGCTCGTCTTCTAGCATCCGAGGAAGCCTCCGCTCCGCCCTCGAACAGGCCTCATCGAGACGTGCGGCGTCTCCCTCCGAGACTAAGCAGGCCGCCGAAGCAGCCGATGCCGAGCGAGGTCGCATCGATCCACCCCATGCGCACTGGAACAGCAATTTGGCTTGCTGGTTCTCGTCGCCCCAGATGACAACGATATCACCATCCTGGAGCCGTACCCAATTCCTAGACGGGCCCATGGGAATTTTGGGTTCGTGCGACGGTATCGACTGCCCATTGACCCTGATGCCGTTGGTTGCTTTGGTAGAGATATAGAAGTGGTACGATTCAGCGTCCCGACTGTCCCACGGCCGGAACTGGCGGCAGGGGTCGTACCCCGACTTCCAGAGGAGCAGCTTGAAGGCGAACTTGGGCACCTTGACCTCGGTCCTCGGCGTGTAGACCTGCGTGTTGGTATCGGCCCGACCAAAAGACGTGAAGGCCTCCCTCACCAGCACAGTGATATTTTCGACAACCGAGTTTGGAGCTGACTGCAGGCTGGCAGCCAGCCTCCGGTCCGGGAGAGGAGTCGATACTGGCACAACAACCCCGGCGGTTCCACGAGGCTGCGAGCTGACCTCAGACGGTAGGCTGCTGTCACCTTCGCTCGTTACACGTCCGGTCGGCTGTTTCATGTAGATATTGGAGGCGCTCTCGTTTAACTTGTCCGTTGCGCCGGATGCAGGAGGGAAATGAGCCATAGCCAGGTCCCAGAGCGGTGAACGCCCAGGGCCGAATTCCTCGTCGCGCGCCGCCGCTGCCGCAAGGAACGCGTCGTGTTGCAACTGCGTCATCTCGGGGTAATGCAGATGCCACGTCTTGCGGTCGTTGGCCGCCCAGAAGGTTGTTTTAGACACAGGGTTGTCCATCTGCCTGCCCGACTCCATGCGCGATATGGGAGGTACCGAGGCAACGAGCGCATAGTCCTCGAGGCAGTCATCGCTGTCCAGGGTGTCGAATATGTGGCTCTCGGACCTGAGCCTCTTGAACGAAGCCTTCCCAAGCGCCGACCTGCCATCAAGCTCGTCACTGGTGTCTAGTGATGGCGGCTTTCGTTTGCTCGAGGTGAAGTCTGTGTTCGACCGCAGTAGCGATTTGCCCCTGAGATTGTCGAGTGGGGTCCTCAGGGCACCAGGGGCTTGGGATATTGACAGATTGAGGGGCGCCGTCTTGCCAAGGTTGGCCCGGTGAGCCGCTTCGTTCATGCCCAAAAGCGCCTGGCTTCCGAGTGCCACTTGACGAGGACCTGCCGAATCATTGGAGGAAAAGCTATCTTCCAACTCTCCTGATTCCCCTGGTGACGCCTGGACAGGAAGATTGAGACGATCCTCGGCAATAACCCCGGAGGAGCCAATGGCGGACACGTTGACTTCGCCAAAGAGCCGCGGGGGCTGCATGTGGCGGCCGAACGTGTTGTTCTCGGTTTCCCTCTGCGACCAGGTTCCGTCAGACTCGCCGGCGAGCGCCATATACTCGTCCTCTTCGTCGATCATGTCGTCTTGACTGGGCGGTATCCACCCTTCGTTGGGGTCCTCGAGGCTAAGTTGAGATGCCCTCTTGCCGAGTTCCTCGGAGGACTGATCTTGCGCTGCCGGCGATTCGTCTTCAGCGTGGAGCCAGATGTGGTCGAGAACCTCTTCAACGGTTGCTCTCTCTTCGGGCCATCGGTGGAGCATCCATCCCAGACAGTCGATACCTGCCTCTGACAAGCCTACCGCCATAAGAGGGTCCAGGTTGAGGTCCTCGGTCATGATGGTGTGTAAAAGCTCGGCATAGCTTGTTCCGCTCTGGACGGGGAATGGGGGCTTTCCGGTCAAGGCGTAGTGCAACACTCCTCCTAGAGACCAGAGGTCTACGGCGTGATCGTACCGCTGGGCTTTAGGATTAGGCCGCGGGTGTCGTCGAGGCCGGCGCTGGCCAAACTCATCGTAGTCGGCGAACTCTGAGTAAACCTCTGGGGCGCAGTATAGTAAGGTGCCACAGAAAGTCCTCAGGAAGGTCTGCTCGTTGTCAATCATCTTGGACAGACCGAAGTCGGTCAGCTTGACGTTGAGCGGGTCTCTGGCCTGGATGAGAATGTTGTCTGGCTTCACGTCGCGATGTGTGATGTTGTTCTGGTGAAGATAACCCAGAGCGCCAGCCAGTTGCTTCGTCACCTCGATTCCCAGAGTCTCGGGCAGGGGTCCGTACTTCTGCACATATCCGCTAAGATCCCCCAGTGGTATATACTCCATGACGATTATCAGGAGTCTGTTATCCCATTCAAAGTGGTCGACATAGCGGACAATGTTGGGCTAACACGGCTGTTAGCTTTCGGGGCAGGCACATGTCGTTGCCTCGGCAGCACAGGACGACTTACATGTGTGACACGCCTCATGATCTTCATCTCATTCTCCACCTTCTGGTCCAGCACACCATTCTTGATAAACCGGCGCTTGTCCAGCTCCTTGGCAGCGTAAGGCTTGCCATCGTACTTGGAGGTGACCTTGTAAACTGTAGCAAAGGCGCCTTTGCCAATCTGGCCGATACGATTGTACTGGTCGGACCCGTTCCACTCCCGCGAAAGCCGCTCTTCGGCAACCGCGATCTGCGTTGTCTCGTTGTTCGATGGGGAAATGCGCTGTTGGGGCTGGTTCGGTGCCTCGAAATTCCGAGGAAACAGGTTCGGCTATGAGGAGTGGCAGCACATCGGTCAGTGATCCAACAAGGGTGTCCATAGCATGGCGCCGGGCTCAGCTACACCTACAGGTCCGTTATTCCCTGGCACGATAGTCTGGGTGCGGTCATCGTCAAGAGCCTGAATACGCTGCCGGTATTGGTACAGGTTCTGGCGAAACGCCTCTTCGTGCCTCCCCTCCCGTTTGGGGACCTGAACGAGGAACGCAATGTCATTGGAGTGATCATGGAGCAGGATCTTGATCTCAGAGCCGTTGCTCAGGGTGCGCTTTGTCTCGTGTCGATCGGTCTTGGCCTTTGCCTTCCTGAGCAGGCACTCGTCGACGACGGTCCCATTCGTAGACGTATCCTCGAGCATGAGCACGCCATACTCGTTGATATATATTCGGAAATGTATGTTGCTCAGGCGCTTCAGAGGGTCGGTCGCGAAGCATATGTCGCATCGTGCCGCGTGTCGGCCGAATGTGAAGCCTTGCATGGGGTCCTTGGTGTCGACCGAGAGCTTCAGCACGATGGCATGCTGGGCGGACACGGGCGTGGCAAGGCTAAAGCGGGTTGGGTCGTCATTCAGGAAATATTTGACATTGGCACCGCCGTCTGTTGGCTGCGAGATGAGATGTGCGGAGTTGTCACGCTCGAGGGCTGCGACGGCGCGGCGGGCGTTTTCGGAGGTGGGATAGAGGATGCAGATGATATCGGCGATCTCGTCGTCTGAGAACCCCGAGTTCTGCTGTCCTAAACGCCTGGGATCGACAACATCCTGCGTGGCTGTTTGAACAGGCAGGAAACAGGCAGCAGCAGCCAGTCTCCACAGTCAGCGGCGAGGACCCCTCAACTGCCGGCGGGATTGAGGGCGGCGAGCGTGAACTTGCCTTGGGACTCGTCATCCATTGCCGGTCTATCTAGTAACACGATTGACGACTCGGTCGGCGACGCGACAGCTTCAGAACTGCGGGATTCGGATCGGGGGGGAGACTGTACGCGACCGCGCTCTCCGCCCAAGTCTGGACAAGTCGGGGCGGCGGTCGAGGGAACTATTTACATCCGCTACGCCTAGGCGCGACACAGCAGCAAGAGATGCAGGCGGAACAGGCACGCCGACGGTCCGAGAAACGGTGGTCCGCCTCTAGGAAAAGGAACAGAATCAAGCCGCCGTCGGCGTGTGGCTTTTGGACCGGCTTTTTTTCCACAAGGCTTCGGAGGCCGTCTGCTGCTAACCTGCGGCTCTGGCAGGCCATCCAATGATGTGGATTGACGGGGCAACGGCAAGTTCACCCGGCATGCACCAGGGCTGCTGGTTGGGCTGGGCTGATGATGGAGGAGGGGTCGAGGAATGGGAAGCTGGAGCCCGTGCGACGTGCGTGCAAGGGTGGATGCATGGATTGAGAGCAGAGACAATTGGACGGCCAAGTTGCACGATGATGGCGGAGAGCGCCCACTGAGCAATGATCTCGACAAGTGTTTTGTAGTCCAACCAGTAAGCCTACCCGAGGGCCATCTGCGATTTTTGGCCTGGGATCTGGCGATATGACAGCAACGGACGGGCAGTTGAGCTGATCACTGGACTGGGACAGGTGCGTGTGAGGTGTGAGGCGCTGTGTTTGTTTGCTTGGAATGGCGAATCCAGCAATCACAATGGATACCGAGGCGCGGGGTTGCCGAATCAGCGAGCAAGAACGCCTCCCCATCCATCAAATGCGCGACGCCCTCCACCGCTGAGAGAGAAAGGAACGAATAAAATAGAAAAATAAAAATAAGAAAATAAAAGCAAACAGCAAACAGCAACGGCAAATAGCAAACACCGAGCCAGCGTACTGAGAAATCCCTCTCAATTGCCCACAAAGCCCCACCGGGCGTCAACATGGATATGGTCGGTGTGCACAGCTGTCTGCCCTGCAGTGGTAAGGATACGTGAGGCGGAGAATGGCCGTGTGACGACATGCCCGTGTTCGTTCGAGGTGCTTTTAAACACAAGGGCATGGGATCAGTATGTGCACTCGCGCGCTTTTTCCCATTCGCACGGCGGCATACAATTTGCGGCGAAATCTTCTGGATTGTCTCGTCTGCTTTTTCCATGACCTTCTATGCCAGGTCCAGCTGATGCGAGCCAGAGGCTCTCAATTGTTCCCACCGTCTAGCTGCACGTGGGCCAAGTGGCGGTGCGGGGCGGTGCCGTGGCATGACCCCTGACTCTCAGCCGTCTCCCGAGAATTTGGGTCCAAACAGAAACGATAGGATAGGTGAGTGTGAGCTGAGGGACACCAGTAAACAGGGCTGCGTGTGGCTCCAGCGGTCAAAGAATGTGACCTAAACAAAAATCGCAGAGGGTGCCCTAGACTATCGGCATGCAACCGAGGGGAAGCAAGCAGCGATAGCCGCTGCCGTGTCACGTCCAAGATCTTGCTTCCAGTGCGTCGTTGCAATGATGAGATGTGGTGCGCTGCGCCGGACAACGCTCGTCCCGGAAGGCCAGAAGTGCCCCTGAACCATATGAGTCGACTTTAGCTTCACCCACCAGTGACTCTGTCGTCTCCGAATTCATTTTCCATCAAGTAGTGTTGATTCTGAAGGAGCCCTTTACAAAAGAGCAACAGGTGGGACTTGGCACCAGTTATGGGAATTTGTCATTTATTTCCGTGCCACCGCCTCGCGTTGATGGATCGCGCCCAGGCTACCCGACCTGTATCGATCTCTGTGCTATTCATGGCCGAGAGAACTTGGCCGTGACGGGGATAGCGTGGTGGTTGGGGCGATCGTCGTGGCGCGGGAGGCTGCCACCCCTGTGCCGTCATCAACCCCCAGCGGCTCAGTCGCCAAGACCCCGTCGCTGTGAAGCCGCGCGTCTCTTAGCAAAAGTCCACCTGTCAAGTTGTTAAGGGACAAGTCGGCAGGTGATTATCGATCTGCAGTGTTGGGTAACACGGTGGCTTGGGGGGGTGGGGTCACAGGAGAGCGCTGGCTTGGGCTGGCCGGAAACACCGGACCACCAAAATCAACACAAAACGACAGCCGCCGTCTTTCTCTGGCTCGGTATGGTCGGCGGCAAAGCACTGGACTGGCGGTCTCGACGGGTGGGCAAGCCGCCGAATACGGGCCCCAATGGAGCCAGGTGCGGAGCAAACTGGGGGTCCCGCGGCTTCCAACCCTATCTCTTCAGCCTCCGTTTTCCCTTCACCGTCCCATCGCTTAGACCGCCCTCTGGTCCCGGAAAACACATGATGGTGCAAAGTACCTGGGGCGGGAGGCGCTCTCGACACGGGGGTTTCACAATCTGACAGCGCGATCGACCCTGGCCCAATCACACGGGCATCTAAATCGAGAATCCCAGCTCCCCGACACAGAGCCGGGGACAGCCGCTGACAGCAACGAAGAGGCCGTAGCCAATCTATCGTGGGCTGGGCAGCCCGGAAACGGTGAATTAATTGACTCACCTCGGCTGCAGCCAGTCTATCGGCTTGTAAATCCTGTGCTGTGCTCTGCTGCATTCTGCACACTAAGCAATCCTAGATACCTCTGTGCCGCGGCACGTCGTGCCATTACTGTTTCTCTCCGGACGGCATCCCGCCTCCCAGGTGCGGCTGGATGCAACCGTAAAGCAGCACGGTTGGTAACCTGTCCCGACTGCAGGATACCAAGGTTCCGAGCAGACCAACAGGCGACGGAAAGAGATAAAGTCGAAGAAAGGTGAAACATCAAAAACGCTTGGTGACGAGAAACGTTAGCATGTTGCCCGCCGCAGTACGCGATTCATCCGCTGCCCAGTCCTTTTCAGTTTCCCTGCTAGTGAGGGGTCTACAGTCCAAAGCAGACTCTTGGTATGATGTCAGTTTCAAAAGCCACACATCATTTTTAGCTTCGAGTCTAGCCCAGTCCAAAGCAATTCGGCAAACTGGGGGCGCTCACAATCCCATGACGACGCAACTTCTGAAGTCACCATGCAGTAGCCCAGCCGTCTTAGGTCGCCTGTAGACGACTGTTCGTTTGTTTGTGGTATCAATACACAGTTCGTTGAGCGATAAACAGTTGGCAAGTTGGGTGCGGATGGGTGCAGACATTTTTGCCAAGCCAGCCACAGCACACGAGAACAGAGATAGACAGGAATGCACATCGTTGATTTGATCAGATGGCAGGGTCTGGCGACCTCGATAGCTCGAGGCGGCGCCGACAAGATGCTTGCCATCATCATTGATTTTCCACGGAATTAGCCCAGCAGCCCAGCCCGGCTCTCCTGGCAGCCCAAGGGCCTGGCACGCACATGGCTGGCTTGGCTGTCCTCTCTGTGGCCTGGGCTCTCGCGCGGCGAGCTTTGGGGTGCTTGGCCAGCGGCAGCGATGGACGACAAGACGACGGACACATACGCAAACGCGCACACGCACACACCGGCGGGACGGTCGGGCATTTGCCCATGGATCCGTAAGCAGGGAATCTCGCCGAGCCAGCAGCCGTCGCATCCCTGGGCAGCATTTCCTTTTCCTCGTATCGGTAGGCCAATCCGTGGCGCGGGGCGGCGACGCTGGCCGGACACGTCGGGTGTGGGCAAGGGAGCTCTGCCCACCGCCCGTCAACCCAGCCATCCGTTTCCACGCGTTCGCTCGCCTGGATGGGCTGGCTCGCTGGACCGACAGGATTTGATGGCACAGGATTCGATGGCAGCAGCCCACTCTGTGGTTCTCGACCGGACAAATATCGAGTGCGAGTGACATAATCGCCCTGCCATGTATCCATCCGCCCATCCGTATGATCCCGGTCGCAGTGCCATGCCAGAAAGTGTCAGAATCGGCTCTTCGCACTAAAAGTACAAAACACCGCCCGTCTGTCATGTCCCCCTCTCCGCGAGGGGTGGGTAGTGGGTGCACATTCCCGGCCTCCATCGTTGTGTCTCCTCATCCCTGCCGTGCCTGCCCCTGCTGCCTGCCCGTTCGGTGGCCCGCGCGCGGTATACGAAGCACGATTGCCCAAAAAAGTGCAGTTGCGGCCACGCCCCCTGCAGCCGCCCGCCCAGCTTTCCCAGCCAGCCAGCCGCCTGTCGTGCACACACCGTCCCAGTGTCGTCGCCAGGGCGGAGCTCGGCTCGACATCGTCTGCGGCTCCGAAAGGCAGAAACAAAGCCAGGGGAGAAAAAAAATCCCACGTTATATGCTGCCGGCATCCCCCTCCGCCGCTGGGCCTGTCCTGCATTGATTCCCCATCTCCGCCCGTGGACCCTTTTTCTCGCTCTGGCACTCTCTCGCACGTCATGCGCCCAGCGTCACAATCCGCCTAGAGGTACCTGCCCGCACAGGTTGCTGCTCGTCGTCCGATCCGAGCCTCCCGGGCTACCCTACCTAAACTTGCCCGCACGAGCTGCCGCAGCACCTGCGCATATGCACGAAACCTCTCTTGGACGCTGCTGGGGTCGCTAACCACCACTACCTATACCGCTACTGAACCTATAATCACCCGCCCTGCACTCGCACCAGCACAACCTGCACACCACCCTCGCTCGGGACGCAGGCTCAGCGCCCGCCGCCTCCCTTCGTGTCCTGGTTTGTCGTCGAGCGTGCATTACGCCGCATCCGACCAAGCACGTCCAGCACCAGCCGGAAGCAGGAAAAGGGCGGGACACGGGCGAGCTGAAAAAAGAGGGGGACCAAGCAAGGAAAGAGGGGGACAGGGACCGCCGGCCAGGGTCTCACGTGAGTGCCGGGCTAAACAAAGGACGGGCGCCAGGGGAGGGTGAGCGCTTCGAGCACAGGGCAAAAAGGATTGACCGGCTGGAGTGTGTCACGGAAAGACCACAGAGACAGGAGGCTTGCAGGTTGCATACCGATCGCAATACCGACGCAATGGCTCGAAATCGCGGTGGGTTCAACAGCCCCTTTCAATAATTTGCCCTCCCTCGCACCGAGAAAGCATGCCCTTGACGTCGCCTGGGTCCTGCGACCTGGTCTGGGCTTACCTACCTTGGTACCTACGCGCCCCTAGGTTGCTGCGCCGGCCTCGCTGCGCCAATCGTCATTCCCAGCGCCAGTGCTGCTGCGGTTTCCACCACTGCTTCGTCTTCAGCCCAGCTGGCCGCGTCGCCTGCTATTTCGCTACGCCTATTTGTTGTGCCCCTCCCCGCGGCCGCCGATCACCGCCGGCCTTTCCCTCTTTCCAACTTCCCTTGTCCGCCGCCCTAAGCATCTGCCGAAGTCCCCCTGCCAGACCCCCCTGCACCTGGCATGCCACAAAACCCCGAGAGCCCGTACTGACAGCATACATTTGCCAACCTCAAAAGTGCTCTCGTTTGTTTCCCAGTTTTCCGGGGCTCATCTGCGGGATTCTAGAACTCCGACTCCCAACTCCTCCCCGCCAAACAACGCTACCAAGCCCGAGTCTGGCATCCCGCCTCTGCAGACATCACTGGGCCACAACCACGGTCCTCCCGACTCGGCTGTCTTGTCACCAACCCCCAGCTCGCCTGCCCGCCCAGAGTTCACCGGTTTGCCGCTGTCTCTATCAGGATCCCCGACGGACGGCGTTGAGCCCAGGACAGGGAGACAACGCAGCAGTTCCAGGCCCCAATCTATGATCCAAACATACCACCCGCCCATCATGGATGTCACCGAGGAGACCATCCCCGAGCTTCAGCCCATCTTTACCCTTCTCAACAACCACTCGAACAAGCTTTACCAGGAGGGCTACTTTTTGAAGCTCGACGACCAAAACGCCCGTAAGTGTTAACGCCTGAAAATTGTAGCCTGCTGCTCCAAGTTGGTCCGCTATGGGCGGCTGGTCTCTAACCGTCTCGCTCTCCAGAGGGTCGACCGAATCCGGACCGAACTTGGACAGAATGCTTCGCCCAGCTTGTCGGGACGGTGCTCTCGCTATGGGACGCTGCGGAGCTGGACAGCGCGGGTGACAACGGAGAAGTTCTTCCCAAGTTTATCAATCTCACCGATGCATCCATCAAAATGGTGATTCGACCGAAAACCGCTGGTCCCGAGCACGTGCTGGGACGTCCTTTCTAACACGCTCTACAGATTGAGTCCCTACCCACGAGGTCGAATGACGAGCAGCCCCTCCAGAACATCCTCAGCATATCAACAGCCGGTCGAAATCGCTATCTCCTCCACTTCAACTCTCACCACTCGCTGATCCAGTGGACTGCCGGAATCCGCCTGGCGATATTCGAGCACTCGACGCTTCAGGAGGCTTACACCGGCGCTCTGATCGCCGGCAAGGGCAAGACGCTGAACGGAATCGGCGTCATCATGGAGCGCGCCAGAGTCAAGAGCGAGGACTGGGTGAGAGTCCGCTTCGGTGCTGGTGTACCATGGCGGAGGTGCTGGTGCGTCATATCACCACCGGACGAGAAGGAGTACCAAAAACAGCAGAAGGACCTCAAGAAGCGGTCGCCGTACGACCGATCACCCGTGCCAATCCTGAAGGGAGACATCAAGTTTTACGACACACGCAAGGATGGCAAGAAGCAGAAAAAGGGCAAGCCCATCGCCTCTATCTCTGATGCGTACGCTGCCTACGCAATCTACCCCCAGGCTAAGTCTCTCATCGACGCCTCGACGCTGCTCAAGGTCGAGGGTAACATCACGATCCACTCTGACCCGCCCTCTTCCACGGAGGGCTTCGTCTTTATCATGCCCGAGGTGCACCCGGCCGTCAGTGGCTTTGAGATGCTCCTGAGGTACATGTTCCCGACGTGGGACACGTTCGGGCTGTACGGTCGGCCGGGCAGGCTGGTGGCAAGCGTTCTCGACCAGAGGTCCCTCATGTTTGGCATGCCAAAGCACAAAAAGTATGGCTATCTGGAGATACTGGACGTCACAAGCCTGATATTGTCCGAAGGAAGCTCTGGCTGGTCCGAGAGGGAGTGGAGACGACGCCTGAGGGAGCTGACGGCGGCAAGAATGACCGCCATGGACGAAGACCCCAAGGGACATAGTCGAAGCTCCAGCCGGAGAAGCGCCCGGCTCAGCATTGGACCTGGCTCCACCGCCCGTGATGCGTCAAAACCCCGTGTGGGTTTTGCGGACGACGCGGGATCAGCCAGGTCTGGGCGGTCCATGTCTGTCTCGCGATCGGCGATGCGCAACGACTCGGCGCCGCCGCCTTCGGAGAGGATGCGGAGCTCACCACCTCGGGCTGGTTATCATGTCCGTAACTCGTCAGAACCCCGCATCGACGGCATGGCGCTACCCGTCCGTGGCCATGGAGGCTATGACGCCCCCAACTCGGGCTACTCTTCGGGACCCGCCTATGGCCATCCTCAACAGTCTCGGGGTTTCCAGAACGGGCTCGCCACCACGCCAGAGCGGGTCAGCTCAGAGGATGAACGCGCGAATCCGCCTCCGCGTGACTTTGGAAATATGGAGAGGATGCAAACCCCAGAGCCCGTCCAACCGCCGCCTGCCTTTGCCCACTCCCCCTCGTCACGCCCGGCTGGGAAGCCGTATCATTCTCCTGAGCTAAGGAGGGCCAACAGCCGCCTCTCCAGCACTACCCTCGCCCAGCTCGCCAAAGCTGGTGGGGTTCCACCGTCAGCTTACCGGGACGAACTCGGAAGAACGAGCAGCGACGAAAGCTCGGGGTCGCGACCCTACCATGGGGACCCAAGAAGCCAAGGGGTTAGGGACGCACACGCCGAAACCATGGGAATCACTGCTAATTCGAATGGGTCCCAAGTTCTAAACTCCCCGAACCACCAGGCCTCAGCCGGACAGCAAACCGGTGGCCAGCCGCTGCCCACGGGCGCGCCCGCTCCAGAGCGATATATGTCGCCCCTGAACCAGTCCATGATGGCTTCGGAACCAGTCCAGGAACGAGGAGACAACCCCCAACCGTCCATGATGCCACTCCCTCCGCAAGGGCCCCCTCCGGCAGGGCCACTTCCTTCCCTCACCTCATCTCCACCACACAGAAAGCCCCTCCCTCAGCAGCAGCAAGCAGCTGGCGTCTCCGGAGTTCCGGGATACGCCCTGCACCACGACCCTCTACGCCAGTTTGGGCCCCATAAAGCCACGCCACCTCAAAACACCCAGCCGAGCCGGCATCTTTCACAAATGAGTCAATCCAGTAGCCTTTATGACGACGCATCCTCAACCGCCAGCCCGGACTACGCCAGCACCAGATCGTCCGAAGCACGCGAATCCATTGATCGACCACGGGCCGGAGTCTTGAAGACAGTTGGTGCTGAGCAGCAGGTCCAAGTCAACAATGTCAATCATGATTTCAACATTCCCGAGATCAACTTTGGCCCTACCGTCAACTACGCTGCCGCGGGCTCCCCTCGGAATAAGACGCCTTCCCCTAACCACAACACCACACCAACCAGGGGAAACGGCCACAGTCGAAACGAGTCTGAAGATACACTTAGGCGACGCAGCATGGCCTGGCAACCTGGCGGCGTCACGGTGAGCCCGGGGGAGCGCTCCGGTGCCCTGACCCCGGAGCAGTTTGTTCAGCAGCGAGCCGCGGCGGCATCGACACCCATGTACTCTCACTCGCGCACCCCATCTGGAAACGCTCTAGCGGCATCGCGGGGCAACACACCTACTCCGCCTCTCATGAAGCGAAGGTCCAGCTTCGATATGCTAGCTGCCAGCAGGGTGGGCGGCCATTCGCGGTCAGGCTCTGCTGAGCTTCTCGGACAGCGCCCCACTTCGCAAGGGGCCCTCCAGGCTCTAGGCGGGGGTCCTGGTGACTACTCTTCTCACCTGTCTGCCCGAGAGCAGGAACACGTGTCCCGGGTCACTGGCTCACCCCTGATTGCCGTGGCCGGCGGCCGTGGACAGACAATACCCCCAAATGGTGGCCTTGTCGCTGCCATTGATGCCAGGGAACGCGAGAAACAGCAGATGAAGCAGGGTATCAGCTCGGTGCTTGCCCAGAACGCCATCAATCAACGCCAACAGCAGCAAGAGCGTGATTACCGTATTCAGCAGCAGCAACACCACCAGCTCATGCAACACCAGCCACAAGTGCAGCAGAACATGTACGCTGGAATGGGAGCTCCGATGGGGCAGCCCGGCCCTGAATCCCCTTCCATGTACTTCGCAGGGGGACAGGCCAATGGTGCGCCGTCCATGTACTCGGGATACGGCGGAATACGTGCTTCTCCGGGAGCAGCAGGACCTGGCGGCTCCCCTGGAGGAGGTAGGGGCCATATGGGTCCGGGCGCCGGGCCTGGCTATGGCTCTCCTCAGATGCAGAATCCAGGTCGTGGCAGCCCCATGAACCACCCAGGCGCGCAGGCATATGCGCAAGGTGGAGGCTTTTCACGCCCCTTCCCGATGCAAGGCCAGCAGCAATCAGCACCGAGGCAGTACGGCCAGCCTGGGCCACAGCAATTTTCGCCTGGTGGTGGATTCGTGCCTGGACCTCAAGGCCAGCAACCCCCAAACCGTCGTCCGGTGCCGCAGAACGCCATGGGCCGTGGGACTCCCCAGTACCAAGGGCAGGCCTTCTAGCGGAGGGCACCCTGGGCTCTTGGACAGCTTCTGCGGAGACGACCTGTCATTCCTGTGGCGGCCCAGTGAGTTAATAGGAGGAGATATACGACACAAACGACAAGTTGCATCGGCCTACAACGGAGTTTCGGTTTTCGATGATAATTGCTACGAGATGGGAAATTGCATCATCTTTCTTACACAACATTGAGCCATTGCATCGCCTCTGGCTGGGACAGGATGCACACACGCGCGTCCAAGACTATTTCACGGCTGCATGTTTTCAAGCGGTAAACTGATAACGACATACTACTAGACTGGGCTTGGCTTTCCTTTTGCTTTTGTACCGTGGCGTTATGGATTTAGGAGAACGGGGTTATAGTAATAGCTAAATCACTTCGCACCGCTGATCTAGATGTGTTCTTGATGAGACGGGGTATTTGGCTTGGTGGTCAAGTCGTTGCTGGATGAAGCAGTCCGACATGCCTCACAGCTTCAACCATGCCTGGATGCTGCTCGGCGCTGCCACTCTGCAGTCAAGGAATGAAATTCCAGACGAATGAGGTCACTCGCATCAGCGAAGGCGTTCGTCTAAACCTTAAATTACTCAGGCTTGATCGGAGCTTCCATTTCCTGCTGCCGGTTCTCTTTATCAAACACTGTGCTGGCAATGCTACCTCTAATTATCTGACTCCATCTTGAACTGTTGCGGTGCCCGACGTGGAATCGCATCACGGCACTGGCCATTAGCGTGCATCCCTGGAGAGTCAGGCGCCGCACTCAGCGGCCTTGGTCGCCGCCCCAACAAAATTGGCCCCGCGCAGGCGCCCAAAGACTTGGCCCAGCAGGCAGCACCGGCACCAGACTCCAGAAGTCCGACGCCAGACGCCAGACGCCAGACGCCAGACCTCGAACTAGCCCATCCGTGTTATTCGCGGCAGCACGCCATCCAAACCGATCGCATCCCCGATCGGACACTTTCGCCGACCCTGTCGTTGGAATGAGGAGGCTCCCTCGTCACCTCCCGCCCTCCTCCGCCTCGCCCCCCGTCCCGGTCCGACCAGCGGTCTTCCCCGCCGCAATCCGGACACGCCCATGCGCGCCGCCGTCCACGGCAGCGGTCGCGACAACATGGCCGCAGAACCATTTTAGATCTGGGCAGTGCGCCAGAGGCACTCGCTCCTTGTTTTGTTCCTCGCCCAGCAGGGAGGCGCAGCAACAGCAGTGGCAAGAGGAGGCGACGACATCTAGCGACAGTAGCGGCAGCGGCAGCGGCAGAGCCAGCACCGAGACCAGCCCCGAATGCTCGGCAGCATCCGCGGGCCTACCCTTCAAGTTCGAGACGGGCGTGGCGCTCTTCGCCAAGCGGGCGCCCCGGCCGTTCCCTCCCCCTTTCCTCTCCCCGCCGTCGGGATCCTTCAGCGACCCGCTGAGCACGCACCACAGCAGCCGGGACCGGCGGCGGCGGAAGGGGGGCGCGGGCGGGGCCAGCTACGTCAACGGCGAGCTGATCCGGGGCTGGACCAACGGGGACGACGCCGTCTACGCGGGCGAGACCTTCATCTGCGCAAACGACGGCGTCGGCGCCTGGTCCGCCCGGCCCCGCGGCCACTCGGGCCTCTGGGCCAGGCTGGTGCTACACTTTTGGGCCGGCGCGGTCTGCGAGGACGTCGCGAGGTGGAGGGGCGGCGGCGGCGGCAGTGCGCCGGACCCGGCGGCGGCGCTACAGCGCGCGTTCGAGCGCACGCTCGAGGCGACTAGCCCGCCCAACGATTGGCAGGGCACCACCACAGCGACGGGGGCGCAGATATTCTACAGGCAAGGTCAGGCGCAGCAGCAACAACAACAACAGCAGCAGCAGCAGCACGAAGGTGGAACCAAGGACGCCGGCGCGTCCACGCCGTTGCTCTACGTGACGAACCTGGGTGACTCCCAGGTCATGGTGGTGCGGCCCAGCACGGGCGAGCTAGTGTTCAAGACCAAGGAGCAGTGGCACTGGTTCGACTGCCCGCGGCAGCTGGGCACCAACAGCCCGGACACGCCGGCCGAGAACGCGGTCGTGGACGTGGTCGAGATCCGCGAGGGCGACGTCGTGCTGGCCATGTCGGACGGCGTCATCGACAATCTGTGGCCGCACGAGATCGTCGACAAGGTGTGCGAGTCGGTAAAGAGGTGGGAGTGCGACGGCGCGGATGCGGGCGCGTCCTCCCCCCTGGGCGGCGGCGGCAGCCCCGCGCTCTACCGCCGCTTCCCCGGCCATGAGGGCGAGGATCTGGAGGAGGAGCTGCTCGACGGCGGCGGCGACCGGACCGGCGGCGCCAACGGGGGCATGCAGCTTGTCGCCGACGAGCTCATGGAGGCCGCCAGGGCAATCGCTGTAGATCCCTTTGCCGAGAGCCCGTACATGGAGCATGCGATCGAGGAGGGTTTGCCAACTGAGGGAGGTACGTAAATGGTGCTTTTTTTTTTGTGTCCATGACCACCCGTGATCACCACCCGATTCGGGATATTCTTGTTTACAATGCTGACGTTCTTTCTTCTCCACAGGCAAGCTTGATGATATCAGCGTTGTCGCGGCTCTGTGCCGCCGTGTCTGAACTTATTTCCGACGAAGTTAGACCACGGCCTTGAACGCTGTCATTTATTTTACTGGCGAAACAAGCATTTCCACGGCGTTTGCGGTTTGTTACGATGTTCATGCTCTTATCATGCATATTTCTCAGGGGTACATCGGATACTGGAGGCACACAGAGAGGTTTGAGGGATTCCAAAGAATATGGGACTAATGAGGTCGGATGGAGCCCTGCAATACTGAGCAAGTAGTTAGACGTTTGTCACATTTTCATAGTCAAGATTACAGTAGTTCAATCCTGCGCTGATTTTATACATTTAATGTTCTTTTCTGTTTTCAAGTCTCGACTTTGTTGGTTGCCAAGTTTCCCCTGCGCCATGACCGCCCGCAGGACGCGGGCACGCGGGGGGTCCGTCATTTGGTGGGACTCCCGCCATTGCCTTTGTTATCAGCAACGCCGATAAGAACTTTTTTTTTCCTAGGCCGAAATACTGCGACCTCCGCTTCCAACCGCGACAGAAGACCGCGCGACACAGCTTTTGCCCGACTGGCAATTCCACCCTTGCCAGGAAGTTCCGGGTACCACAGACACAATGAAGGCAAAAAGGTACCATACGAGCAATCATATGCGCCCGTCCGCCCCAAGGATGACCTCCGACGCTGACTCCAACACACAGGTCAAAGCAATATCGCAAGCTCATGAAGCAGTTCTGCCGAGTATGGAACTTCGTAAGGCTTCCCCGATCATGCTCCCACCCGAACTCGTCCGCTACTCCGCTGCAATTCGTTCTCATCTGACGGCCCATGCGATTTCCCCACGAACAGCGTGAACCATACCAGGTGCTGGTAGACGCCGACATTGTCAAGGATGCGAACCGCTTCAAGATGGACCTCATACCCGCCCTCGAGCGGACCCTACACGGCAAGATCAAGCCCAGTAAGTCTCTCTCTCTCTCCCGTCCGCCAGTGCTGGGAGCTTACAGCTAACGTCTTCCCCCCGCTGCTAGTGATTACACAATGCTCAATGTCAGTTCAAACCTCCTAAACACCGTCAGCGACAACTTCGCGCTCGGCCAGGCACCGGAAAAGCTCGCAGGGAGCCGGCGCAGCTCGGGTGATACTCTGCGACATGCATGCTAACCAGCCGGCGACACCTACGGTACAGGCGCCACCTCTACGCGCTACAGGGAGTCCAGCCGGGGATGAAGGCGCTCATCGACTCGGTCAAGGAGAACTTTGAGCGGCGGCGGTGCGGCCACCACCCGGACGAGACGGACGCACTCTCGACGCTCGAGTGCCTCTCGTCTTTCGTCGTCGACTCGGGCAAGGGCTCGCGCAACCGCTACGTCGTGGCCAGCCAGGACGCCGAGGTGCGCCGGCACATGCGTGGCGTCAAGGGCGTGCCGCTCATCTACATCTCGCGCAGCGTCATGATCATGGAGCCCATGGCCTCGGGCAGCGCCAATGTCGTGTCCAAGGAGGAGCGCGCAAAGCTCAGGTCCGGGATCAAGTCGCTGGCCTCGGCCGGGTCCAAGAGGAAGAGGGGGGACGACGACGGCAGCGACGGCTCGGGGGGCAGTGAGGATGATGACGACGACGACGACGACGATGACGATGATAACGACGACAGCGACGAAGACGGCGACGACGATCAAAGGGCGGCTGCTGTTGAGCGACGGAAAGCACCGTCATCACGTCCCCTAGTTGTCGAGGCCCCCGATCGCAAAAAGCGCAAAAAGGCATACGGACCCAAAGGCCCAAACCCGCTAGCGGCTAAAAAGAAAAAGTCTAAGCCGACCGCGACGGGGGATTCAGGGGCGAAAAATGCCGCGAGGGGCGACAGGGATGGGGCTACCACAGACGCCGCAGCTCCTCCAGACCAGCAGGGCAAGAAAAAGCGGAAGAGGAGAAGCAAGAAACCGGCGGGCTCTGGCGACGCTGGGGCCGAGACCACTGACGCTCCGGTCTAAGTTGAGGCCTAGGCTATTGTTGTTTGTTTGCTTGCTTACCGGGCTTTGGCAAGTTTGTTGACCGGGCCTGTTTTCTGTTTTATCTCGTCGCGGCTAGCGATAGACCCCAGCCTTTTGCCGGTTTCGCTTTTCCTTCAGCCCGGGCGCGTGGTACCGGGACCCGCACACCTCAGCCGCATTCGACACGGAGGGGGTGGATCAGTGTGTGGGGATGAGCAGCACTCCGGGGCCGGCATAATCAGCCCTGGCTCCCCGGTTGTCTCTACCCAGGTACTCGATAAGCCGCCCGCTGCAGGGGCTGGGGGCGGTCCCGGACTTGTGTTTACACGGGGTTTTGCACATGATTGGGCAATGGGGAAAGCTTCATGGAGGAGGGAGCAAAGGGCGAGTCTTGAATATTGAGCCGGTATCTCTCTCTCCCAAGGCGTCGGCTGCGCCGGGTTCGAAACCCTGCGGAAACCAAGCCGAGGACGGTTTGGCGGCAACCACCCGGGAGAGAGAAATGGAGGAGATGGTATGAATCACAATCCCAGGAGTTCGGTCCTCTCTCGCGTTCGGGCCGCTTTTAGAAAGTGAAACGAACAAACGGTGCAAATTTACGTCGGGGGTGGTATCGGGCAACGGGCGTGTGGGGAAACCAACCCATCTACTAAGTTTGCCAACGCAACAAACTTACTTCACTCACGCGTCTCTCCTCATAACTTTATGCATGCAAGGTTTTGGCCACGACTCCTGATGAGCTATCGTGCTATGGGGCTCGTCACAAAGTGAAGAAAAAGAAACAGGGAAAAGTGACGGCTGCCTAACATAACAAGCAAGCCGACGTCAAGCCCATCTAGTTTCACGTTTGATGATTTGATTGACTCGGCAGCTCCAAGAGACAGGCAGGACAGGGTGACATACCACACACAACCCCCTCAAGGCCGGGAAGAAGGACGACTCAGGAAGACGTGCAACGCCAAGCTTACACAAACCGGTACCAAGCCGCCAGACCGCAGGCGTCGGGGGAGGCGGGTTAGGTCGAGGGTGAAGGGCACACAGGCTGAATGCATTCCATGCCAACCTGTTAACCCGAATCAGCCCGTCGGTTACAAAGGTGAAAATGGGGGCCGCCGGCGCCCTTGCAGCAACAAACATTCACACGCAACAACAACAACAACAACAACAACAACAACAACAACAACAACGACACACTATAGGTACAGGCCACTTCAGGCAACAGACGCATCTCGATTTAGAGTTTGCAGGGCGTTGGGCCTTTTCGGGTTAGCCTTGGAGGGAGGGTTCGGTTCGTTGGGGGGAGCGCGTTTGATCGACGAGAGCCCGGCGGCGGGTTGCTGGCAATGTCGATCTGGGAACCATGCCGGTTCTAGAAAGGGCTCACAGGCTTCACGGACGGTAAGCGGAAACGGGGAAGTTATCCCTCAAGCGAGAGCAGAGGGTGACTTTCCATCCCCCTCCTCCTTCCCCGAGGACGCCGCCGGGCCCTGGCGATCTTGGTCGTTCCAGGTATAAAAAGGAAATATGGGGGAGGGGACGAGCCACACACCCCATGGCATGGAAGCGTTCCATTACCACCCACATACCCCCCAGGAAGCCCCGTCGAGGTGTTTTCTGCTCGCCAAGACGTTTGCACTTAATTGATCGTTCGAGACAGACGGGGCGCAGAGCACAGAGCACAGAACACACACACACACACCACAACACGCTCAGGAATCAACCCGCGAATTCATTCTTCTGGCTGCATGGAGCGGCAACAACAAACAGGATAAAAAAGACGCGGGTCGTATGAGGACGGGGCCTCCGCGAAACCGCAACTTGACACCGCCGATCGTGCCGTGACATATGCAAGTGAGCAATCAGACCAGACTCGTCTGCGAAACTGCAAGATGCCGTCAGCGTTTTCCCTTGTGCATGTGCATAACCCTCCGGTTCAATTACCCCCTCACCACAAACCAGATTGTTCCCGTTCCGACACTTGACGGATGAAAAGCAAGAAGCAAAGCATCGGATCGTCAATGTGACGAGAAAAAAAAGGAAATTTGTTTTGCGTGTGCATAAGTAAGTATAGAGATCCTGTAAAGGGCGATATCTGCATATCATAATGGCGCCGCGCAGGGCGTGAAGAAGCTAAAGGTGTGTAAAGGATAGTCGTGAATTAGAAGAAAAGAAAAGCAAATGCTGCCGGTTCCGAGGCATGGGGATATCAAAAACTGTAGAAAGAGAAGAAGAGTCAACGTGAGAAAGAAGAAGAATGAAGGGGGGAAAAACCGCCACCCTCTGTAAAACACTCAAATGAGCCCGTCCGTCGCGCCCATGAAAGTAAACGCCGCCCTTCCCACGATGACAAGCTGCGACGAGGAAATGTGTCTCGTGACCAGCCAACAAAAAGGAAAAGCCCTAGCCTGATTGTTTTTTTTTTAGCAAATCCCAAGGAAACCATACGTGCAAAGAGCATCATGTTTATATCGAGGTCGACTGCCGATACGTTTCAGATACCCGCTCAGGTTCAATCTGAGTTAGATCCATAGTGGCCTGGTCGCCTTATCCTCGGCGAAGAAGTCGCTGTAGAGACCTTGGACGTCGTCCACGTAGGAATCGGGGTTGAACTTCTTGTAGCCCTTGTTGAGAAGCTCCGTCTCTTCTTGGCGCAGGACCTGGCTCGACACGGCTTTACCGCCAAACTCCTCGGCAAGCTCCGTCACCCTGGCCAGCTCGTTCCCGAAGGGATGGCCAGGCGACGCGGCCGACGGCTCCTTCCTCTGCGCCCGCGGCGGCGATGGCGGCGCTGGGAGGGGCGTCTGCGTGATGGGAGGGAGTGGTGCCTTGGAGTTGCTGAAGCTGGCCGATTGCGAGGTCGTGGTCGTGTTGGTCGAGGTGGACGAGGACCTGGAGAAGGAGAAGCTACCCTTGGAGGAGACGGTCCGGCCTGACTGCTCCGACAGGCGCGAGGACGACTTGTGACGAGTCAAGATGTCAAAGTTCTTCTTGGTGTGCGATGGGGCTCTGGTGGGGATGACAGGCGCCTGGGCCGGGGCAGGCGCGTTCGCGGCCTGGCCAGGAGGGGCAAAGTAGCACGAGAGATGGTTAGGCTCGGGCGATGAAGGCCTCTTGGCGATGTTGATGAAGGGCGAGTCTGGGCTGGTGGGAGGTGTACTCCCAGGCGATTCGAGGCTGGGTGCGCTGTCCGAGTCTGACTCCGTCTTGGACGAATTTGTCGAAGCAGCCGAGTTGATCTTGGGGCGGATGTCGGGGGCGTTGTACGAGAGCATGTTTGTCGTCGAGATCAGCTGCACAGGGGCAGAGATCTTGTTCCTGATGGAGCCAAGGGAGGGAGAGCTCTTGTGTGTATTGCCCCTCGAGACGACACCCTCAGCCGCATCGCGCAGCTCTAGGCTCTGCTTCACCCGACGGCTTGTGAAGGCACGAGTGATAGACATGGTGACTGTTGTGATGTGGATAGTGGGAGAAGACCAGCTGCAAAACAGCTAGCTGTAGGGGAATGGTGGTTTTGATGGTGGACAGATATTGTCTGGGAATGGAAGCTGCTGGAGCTGGTGTGATTGTTGATGATGGAGGAGCCTTTCTATTTGTTTGCTTCTCCTATTGAAACAAAGGCAGCAAGAGGAGTGTGGGAAGAAAAGATTAAACGCAGCGAGTGCAGGATGCAGGACATATGCAAGGTGCAGGCTCCCGATTTGTGTACGTCTGATTGCGCGATTCGGTGCGACAGTGAGGCGACGACCGCACAGTTACTTTGTTTCTGTGCGTGATTTCAAAGGGCGCTTGCGTTGCGATCGGGAAGGCCGATCCGTGGCTTTGTGTACGCAGCCAAAACACGGGACTCGAGATGTATTGCCGCGTCTGAAACCGAAATCCAGAAGCCACCAAGATGGCGGGGGGGTTTGGCAAAGAAGAGGATGCGCACAAGGGGCGACAGGCTTTGGTCCAAATGCTCGAAGACGACAAGATGCAGTGACGGTGTCCTCGAAAGGTCCTCGAAAGAGTGAGGTGGCAATCCAAGAGGGCGGCCAGATGGGGAGGTTAAAGGCGTCACCAGCGACGGGATGAAAAAGAAGGGTCCCTTGATTCGGTAGAGGCGAAGCTTGCTGATGAACAGTGCCACACGTGGGGTCCTATCCTTTGTGCTGCAGGGACAGCCGGGTTTTCTGCTTCACAGGGTTCCCTCGTTGGTCTGCTCTCGACAGGCAACTGACGCTTCCGGGAGAGGCCAAGCCAAGCCCAGATGTTCGAGCTGCTGTCGTCGAGGGTCCAGTCGTAAGAAACTGAATAGTGATCGAGACAGGGAACCGCGTGCGAGTCGAGATCAAACCTGACAGTCGGGCGAGGGGAATCAAAGCGGCCGGGTTTGCGTTGCGAAAAGGTTTCGTTTTCGGGCGAATAACAACAAACAACAAACAAGATGGTTGTATAAGTGGCTTGGTCCAGCGCTAGGAAGCGTTGACGAAGAGAAGTTTGCTGCAGACGAAGGAGAAAAAACGGAAAGGAAAGGACTCAGCAAAGGAGCTGTAAAGAAGTGAATCTTGCAATCCAAAGGAGAGGTTGCCAAGCCGAGCAGGAATCGGTCGACGCTGGTGATGGACGGGAAATATAGGAAAACGGAAGGCGCGGGAAATATCAAAGGAGGCAATGTGCTGGAGGGGAGGGCCACGGAAGGTCCTTGCGGGGCGGCACAATACCTAGAACGGAAGGCCAGGGTGCGCGGTCCTGGAGGGTAACAACTGCCGTGCGCGGCCCACCCGCAGTGGCGCGTCCTCTGTACCTTCATTGCCACTAGCGCCATTGCGGACGCCCTGATCAAGGACAAGAGATGGGCCTCCCGGCAAAAACTCTTCACCCCGACTGGGGTTGCAGTCGAGCTGAGGTGTGGCTCGAGTGTGGATTCCGGGCGACCTTCTTCGATGCTGGATTGGTTTCCTAAACACGCGCGCGAACTGGCCAGCCCAACGGCAATTGGCAATCCAGGCCCAATCCTTTTTCCCATTTTTGTTCTTGGGTGTCTCTCTCCCTTTCTTCTGGGCTCGCCCTTTGGCTCTCGGCATCCTGTTCCCTTTTCGCCGACATCCCGCCCCTGCCTCCTGCCCTCCTTTTTTGCCGCGTGCCGTCGCCAGGAGTCAAATGACAGTGGCATGCGGTCACTGCACATGACTGCGACTGCGACTGCTGGCCACCAAAGGTCCACCACGGCAGGGAACAAATTATGGGTTCTAGCCACTCTGAAGACCAGGCTTCCCTTAGAGGCACGCGTGAGGCAGCCACGCGCGTGGAGAATGATCATTTATCTGCAGGGCCAGCTCCAGTAAGGCAGGGACCGCACTGGCCGCCGCCTGAATCGTTGGGGCGGATCCACGCGCGAGCTGATGAGGGGCGCCGATGAGGGGCGCTGATGAGGGGCTAACGCAAGGTACAAGTCCTTGCAAGCCACTCAAGCGCAGGCAAGAAGCCGCCGCTGTTCCAATGCGTGCATGTATGCATGCAAGTGCCCGCAAGCGGCCGCGTGGTCCAACCTGGCCGTGGCAACTTGATGGACCCAAAAAGAGGACATGACACCACCTGGGCAGCATGATCACGCAAAGTCAATCAGAAGCCGCATGCGCCGAACGGCTGGCAGACAAAGGCACCACGGGCACATACTGCATACTGCCGCAAGAACTCGACGAAAGTCCCATCTCTTTTCTGTGGGGTTATTAGCAGATCTTTTCCCAATACAGATAAGGTGGTGGATCTGTGACAGTGCAGCCCTGTGAAGCTCAAACGCACTGATTTTCAGTGCGCACTGTTTCCTCCCGTTCGACTCTACAATCAAATCCAGTGTTGAAACCATAAATTGCACGGCCAAATAACCGGAAAAGGTATGGCCTAACACACGCCCAGACATCGGGACCCCAGCTAAACCCACAGAAAAGAGGTGGGACTTTCGTCGAGAATAACGAGTTCTTGCGGTACCTACTACCAGGCAGAGACAGGGAGACAGTAGGGGGGCGGCTGTAGCCTGTCTCACACCTCCCCTGACACACCACCAAAGATCGCCGGGACGTGGCTCCTTCCCGCCCTTCAGCTCCCATCATCGGTCATCGACCACAACTACATGTTTCTGTTTTGGGACTACGTAGCGTCCCCCTGGATCGTGCGCGGTATTTGCTGACCCCCGCGTGTTTGAAACGCAGGAACTGGTGATGGACACCCCCATTGGGCGACTGTCCCCTGACGGCTTTTGGGGTGACAGGGTTGGATAGGCTCGTTTCAAGTCAGCCCGCTATCAGTCAGCTTTCTTAGCCCGCCCTTCGCGGTGCTGAGAAGCCCGGCTGGGCGAATCAGGGCGCGCGCATGCCCCCGGCCACACCGAGCACTGGCAGAGAGGCGCAGAGCCGCTGGGCTTCGCTCGCCCATGCCCGTTGCGCGCCTTCAGATCGGCGCCCCTTCTTCTACCTACGCGATTGGGGCGCGGGGAAAAAAAGGGGGCGCGCGAAGATTCCCCAAATCGACGTGCAGCAGACACATATCACCCGCCGGTGGGATGATCTGACGATCTGCGTGTCTATTCACTCACGGCTGGCTGCGTCTACGTACCCGCGGCGTGCATGAAGATGCGCGAATGAAATAAACAGCCGTGGGATGGGACGACGGGAGTCTGGGCGAAGTCTCCCGCCCGCCGCGCACTGGCCAGCCGCCCCCAAACTCCAATTGCAACGAAGAAAAAAAACGCTATGATTCAATTGTACGTACGGAGGGCCGTGGTGGCCTTTGCTTTCTCTTTTGTTCGAACCACAATCGTGGTCGCCCACAAGCATTTCCAACGACAAACTCCCTGGCATCCTTCAACTCGGCGCACCCAGTCCGCCCGCCCAACGCACCTAGCACATGCAGCAGTTACGCACAACACTGTCGCCCCCCATTCCTGGCCCCGCCGGACACCATGCTTGACCGATCGATGTTTGCAGTGGTACGGGTCGGCCCCGCGGGGGGGCTTGCGGAGCCCACCGCTCAGCTCAGATAGTTCTGCACCGAAAACACCTAAAAATAGACACGGGACGTCCAGGCCCGACCCCACAAGTCTCTAACAAGACCGGGCCGTGGCAACTGATGGCGATGGCAGCATTGTGTGCTGGGCTCACGAGCCTCAAATTCCACCTACCCGTGGTAACCTACCCGTGGTAACCTACCCGTGGTAAACTGCACATGGTCTTCTCTGATCGCCATGCCGCAATCCCCCGATGTGGCGGTTGGAAGGTCGAGGCCCTTGTCGGTGGACTGTTTTTACCTCAAAGACCCGCAGTGTGTACGTAAAGAGATTCCACTGGCCGTGGATCGACAAACGCCGGATTTCGGCAGAGCGGCTAGACCAGCCCGCGAGTTGCAACATGTGTTGCGACGGCGCGGCTGCTGCACGAAGGTGGCACCGAGCCTGAAAATGTGTGCGCGCTGGATATATAAGCACTGGGAAAAACCAACAAGGCGTTCTGAAAGGGGGAAGGATCGGTTGTGGTGGACTAGACTCCTGTGCCGCCATCCTTCTCTTCCGTTATGACCAACCCTTTTCTTCGCATTTTGTGCTTGTGCCGCCTTCGGGTTGATTCGGAAATTCAGAACCACAAAGGAGCGTAATGGCGCGTTTTTTTTTTCTTGCCGCGTTTTCGGGACGCCCTCTCGCCACCCGCCACCAGCCTGGCCGAACGGAGCTGTCGCTCTCGCCCCCGTACCATCCCTGGACGGGCACGAGACCCGCCATTCGGCCCCAGGTATCATCCTTGAGAGACATGAGCTTTTTTTTTTTGAGTTGTTTTTTGTTTGTTTGCGGTGATGTCATGTTCGACCTCACCAGCTTGCGCCTTGTCTTCCCCCACGTCCAACGGCGGGGTGACCCCGATTCGGAATCGTCGTCTAAAACGCCCTGATGTCATGTCGCCGACGTAGCTGGTCCAAGGTGTCCGAAACACCAGAAGTCGCTAGAGAGCCGCCGCCGGGATATCTCTAATCTGCCCTGCTTTGCCTGGGTGCCGCGGCTGCGCGTGACTACGATGTATTGCGCCGTCGCCGCCCGCCGGGCCGCCTGGGGTGCGAGTCTCCGGTGCGGCTCACCACTCGCTGCACTCGGTGCCGAAAACAGGCTAGCTCGAGCAGGGGGCCCAGAACCTTCATCATGGCAGATCGCCACTAGTTAGCGAACATTGCCTTTCTTGGTGTGCCAGCACGATGCGACGGTGGGGGACAGGGGACGACCAAAATCCGATGAGCTGGAGACCCAGGCCCATCAAACGGCCCAGACACGTTCACGATGAGAGTTCATACATGGATATCGAAGATGCCGCTCAAGGTAGGTGGTAGCCACAATCGGTTAGATCACCATCACCACATGCAGAGGCGAGCGTCAAGATCTCTAAATAAAGCAAGCTCCCCAAAAAGTCCCTGGCCGCCTCATGCGTCGTTCATGGACTCGTCGCTATCGTTGCCATCGTCGCCGCTCTCGTCGTCATCGTCGTCCTCGTCGCCCTCCTCCCCGTCGCTGCTCTCCTCCCCGTCGCTGTCGGCGTTGTTGACGCCGACCACCCTCTCCTCAACCTCGTCGCCCGCGGCGGCGCCCGCGGGGAGCCTGGTCGCGAACGCGCGGCGGATGGCCGCGTTGGTGCTCGTGTCCCACACCGTCGCCGTGCCTTTGCTGCCTGCCACCGCGAGCCGGAAGGCGACCTCGGGGTCCGGGGCGAACGAGGTCGAGAACACCTTGCCGACGTCCAGGTTGCGCGACACCACCATGGACGGGCCGGACTCCTGGATGTTCCACAGCTTGACCGTCTTGTCCGTCGAGCCCGTGGCCATGAAGCCGGGGATGACGGGGTTGATGTCCAAGGACGAGATGGACTCGTCGTGCGCCTGCAGCGTCCACACGGCCTTGGTGGCCGTCGGGTCCGCCGGCGCGTTCCGCGCGTCGTGGTAGTGCACCACGCCGTTCTCGGTCGACACGAAGAAGTAGTTGGCGTCGTGGGGGTCCCACTTGACCGTCTCGACGTCGCTCTCAACGCCCCACCGCGGCGCCTTGGCGTTCGGTGCGCGCATGTCGCCGGCCACGACAGTGCGGTCGTAGCTGCCGCTCAGCAGAACCGTCGCCTCGGTGGGGTGCCAGGCCAGTGAGCAGACCTTGTCCGTGTGGTAGCTGTACGACTGCGCGCACTTGGTCGTGTGCAGGTTCCACAGCTTGACCGTCTTGTCCGCCGACGCCGACGCGAGCAGGTTCCGGTGCTTGCGGTTGGCGGCCAGGGCCAGCACCGCGTCCACGTGGTACTCGTCGTTGGCCTTCTTGGACCTCTTCTTCTTCTTCTTTTTCCGTTTGGCCTCCTCGCTGTCCCCGCCCTGGCCCAGGATCGCGTTGGGGTACATGCGGTCGATGGTGTCCAGGTCCCAGATCTCAATGTCCGGGTCCATGGTGCCGATGGCCACAAAGTTGGCCGCCGAGTCCTTCTCAACATCCTGCTTCTCGACCGGGATGTCTAGCCACTCGACACAGAGCGGTATCGCCGGCAGCATGATGTCGTGGTGGACGTACAGGTTGTCGGCAGCGTCTTCGTAAACGTAGACCTCGAGGTGCGCGAGCTCGTCCTCAACCTTTGCCGCAAGCAGTAGGTTATCGGTAGCCAGAATTTGAAGATCTTCCCTGTCTTCCTCATCCTCGTCGGCCTTTTCGCCGTCCTTTAGAGTGATGTAAGGGTCGTCCTCGTTGTTTTCGTAGTACGCCAGTGACTTGATGTTTCCAAAGATGCCCATGCCCTGACCCTCTGCTGTGTTGGGATCGTCGTCGTCGTCGTAGTGTTCCAAATCGTACTCCTTGAGGTCGTCATCGTTTATGTCGATTCTGCGACACCCTGTCAGTATGCGCTTGGCTATTATACCAAGGACTGGCCAAATTAGGGAAAGCAGGATCGGGCTACGCACTCGACCTTGGATTCTTTGGCTTCACTCGACTCTTTTGCGCTCTTTTTTGACTTGAGTTTGGACTGGTCTTCGTTGTCCCCAGACTTCTGCTCATCGTCGTCGTTGTCGCCGTTCTCCTTACCCTGAGCATCCTCAAGGTCCTCCTTTGCATCGTCAAGCTGAAGCTTCGCCAGAGTCGCTATCCGCTCGAACTCCTCCTCGTCAAAGTCATACTTTTTGGGAAAGGGGGCGGCAAATCCCCGCGGCACCCAGGCCGTCGTGGTGATCATAGAAGACATCTCGGCACCAAGGACAATGGTATCCTGCGTATGCGTATGTGAGAATCGCAGACACCTGTGCGCAACAAATCACCCAACTTTTTTTTTTCCTTTGCGCTGTCGCAAAATTTTAGTGGGGATGCCTGTCATCGCGGGGCTTATCTTATCACCTCACATTTCTTTTTTAGCTTTCATTGCCGAGGCGGCCCAGTGCCCGGTGGGTTGGGTCAGGGGTCCACCAACGCGTCTGGTCCCGTCCGCCGTCGTGGCGCTTGGGCTGTCCGTTCTCCATCCCATCTTACTGGATGTTTTCGACAGCCTTGGCAGAGACAACAGTCGGCTTCTCTTTCTCGCCTTCCGAACCCGAACACGGGCTTATTGGGTAGCTGGCTGGCACCGTCAGGCGTGTTGGTTGCTCAATCTCAAGTTGCCGAAATAGCCATGTCAGACCGAGATTCGAACCCGAAAAGGCGGCGCGTGGACCTGAATCCTCTGCGCTCCGACGATCGATATAGCTCCCCATTACCGACCCGCGAGGGCGATGGCAGGGGCGATAAGCCCTTCAACCGACCACAGCACCGTCTGCAGTTCAACCGACGTGGCCGTGGTGATGGCTCCGGCGTAGAGTCGGGCGCGTCGACGCCTCGCGGCCGGCGTGGCGCGTCACCAGCACCCGATCTGCCCGAAGAGGACGCCAATGCGCTTGACCGCGATTGGTACGCCGGCGACGAGGACGGACACACCTTTGGGGATGACTACCACAATCCGTTTGCGGCCTATGCCGACTCCGCGGCAGCGGAGCAGGAGCAGGTCGAGAAGAAAGCGGGTCGCTTCGACCGCATGAGCGTCCGCGCCCTCCAGAAGCAGAAGGACATCGACGCCTGGGAGACGAACCGGATGCTTACGTCGGGCGTCGCCCAAAGACGGGACTTGGGTGCCGACTTTGACGACGACGAGGAGGCCACCCGTATTCACCTACTTGTGCACGATCTGCGCCCGCCCTTTCTGGATGGCCGCACTGTCTTCACCAAGCAACTTGAGCCTGTGCCGGCCGTCAGGGATAACCAGAGCGACATGGCCGTCTTCAGTCGCAAGGGGAGTAAGGCCGTCAAGGAGAGAAGGCAGCAGCGGGAGCGCCAGAAGCAAGCGCAGGAAGCCACCAAGCTTGCCGGCACCGCGCTAGGTAACCTGATGGGCGTTCGGGCCGAGGAGGATGGCGACAGTGCTCTTCCCGTGCCCGAAGATGCCGATGGCGCTGCCAAGGCGCGGAATTCCAACAAGTTCAGCGAGCACATGAAGAAGAACGACGGCGCTAGCAACTTTAGCCAGAGCAAGTCGCTCAGGGAGCAGCGACAGTTCCTCCCAGCCTTCGCCGTCCGCGAGGACTTGATGCGGGTGATACGCGATAATCAGGTCATCATCGTGGTCGGTGAGACAGGCTCCGGCAAAACGACGCAGCTCACTCAGTTTTTGTACGAGGACGGCTATGGCAAGCTGGGCATGATCGGCTGCACGCAACCCCGTCGAGTCGCTGCCATGAGCGTGGCCAAACGTGTCAGCGAGGAGATGGAAGTTAGGCTCGGGGGTCTCGTCGGCTACGCGATCCGCTTCGAAGATTGTACCAGCCAGGAGACCATGATCAAGTACATGACAGATGGTGTCTTGCTGAGGGAGTCCTTGAACGAACCGGATCTCGATCGGTATTCGTGTGTGATTATGGACGAGGCCCACGAGCGAGCGCTCAACACGGACGTGCTGATGGGTCTTTTCAAGAAGATACTACAGAGGCGAAGGGATATAAAGCTGATCGTGACGTCGGCCACGATGAACTCTAAGAGGTTTTCAGACTTCTTCGGCGGCGCCCCCGAATTCATCATTCCGGGGAGGACGTTTCCGGTGGACGTCATGTTCCATCGCTCGCCCGTTGAGGATTACGTCGACGCGGCGGTCCAGCAAGTGCTGTCTATCCATGTTTCAATGGGTCAGGGCGACATCCTTGTCTTCATGACCGGACAGGAGGATATCGAGGTGACGTGCGAGCTTATTCGAGAGCGCCTCGATGCGCTCAACGATCCACCCAAACTTAGCATCCTGCCCATCTACAGTCAGATGCCGGCAGACCTTCAGGCCAAGATCTTCGATCGCGCGGCCCCCGGCGTGCGCAAATGCATCGTCGCCACCAATATCGCTGAGACGAGTCTGACGGTCGACGGTATCATGTACGTTGTTGACGCCGGCTACTCGAAACTCAAAGTATACAACCCCAAGATGGGTATGGATACCCTTCAAATCACACCAATATCCCAGGCCAACTCCTCGCAAAGATCCGGACGTGCGGGCAGGACCGGGCCCGGCAAGGCCTTCAGGCTTTATACAGAGAAGGCGTTCAAGGACGAACTCTACATCCAAACAATCCCCGAGATCCAACGGACAAACCTCAGCAACACCATCCTCTTAATCAAATCCCTGGGGGTTAAGGATATGCTGGACTTCCATTTTATGGATCCGCCACCACAGGACACCATGACGACCTCGCTTTTCGACCTTTGGGCTCTGGGGGCGCTGGACAATTTGGGAGAGCTCACCGACATGGGGCGCAAGATGAACTTTTTCCCCATGGACCCGTCGCTGGCAAAGCTCCTGATAATGGCGGAGGAGTACGGGTGCACGGAGGAAATGGTGACGATTGTGTCGATGCTGTCGGTGCCCAACGTCTTCTACCGGCCAAAGGAGCGGCAGGAGGAGTCGGACGCAGCGCGGGAGAAGTTCTTCGTGCCCGAGTCGGACCACCTCACGTACCTGCATGTATACTCGCAGTGGAAGGCGAACGGGCACTCGGACGGGTGGTGCACGCGGCACTTTCTGCACTCCAAGTCGTTGCGGCGGGCCAAGGAGGTCCGGGACCAGCTGCTCGACATCATGCGGGCGCAGAAGATGGAGATGGTCAGCTGCGGGACCGACTGGGACGTGGTGCGCAAGTGCATCTGCTCGGGCTACTACCACCAGGCGGCCAAGGTCAAGGGCATCGGCGAGTACATCAACCTGCGGACGAGCGTGACGGTGCAGCTGCACCCGACCAGCGCACTCTACGGGCTCGGGTTCCTGCCCGACTACGTCGTGTACCACGAGCTGATCCTGACGTCCAAGGAGTACATGTCGACGGTGACGTCGGTGGATCCAATGTGGCTCGCAGACCTGGGCGGCGTGTTCTACTCGGTCAAGGAGAAGGGCTATTCGGCGCGGGACCGGCGCGTGGTCGAGACCGAGTTTAACCGCAAGATGGAGATCGAGAGCAAGATGGCAGAGGACAAGGCCCGCGACGACGAGCGCCGGCGGGCCGAGGAGAAGAAGCTGGATAAGAAGAGAGGAGACGACAAGGAGGATGACAGCGACGAAGAGGACAAGAAGTTCATCACCAAGGGGGCTGTAAGGAAACCCGTGTTCAAGAGGAAGCGAGGAAGGCCGTAGCTTGATTGGGGTGAATGAGAAGGCGCTTGCCCTGCATGGAGTACAGGTAACTGCCTGCCATGGTATTACCTACCTCCTTCCTACCATTTGCGTAAAGTCTAGATGTCTGATTGTAACCAAAAAGGGCAGCTGTGACGAATGGAAGCAGGCTCCTTGCACGTCAGAGGACTCCTTCCATTCTGGGTGAGCCCTGGTTGGGGTCACCCTGATTTGGGTGCGTCGCTCCTCCCGCGTATCGGGCCCTGGCTGCAATGCTCCAGCAATGCTCAGCCCGGGCAGCGCTGAGTGTGCTGCAGTCAGTGTCAATGCTGCGCCCCAATTCAGCAACGCTAATCCCCAGTGCCTCGCTCAAGCCGCCTGGGGTAGGGGTTTCGTCCAGGTCATGAAGTCAACATTCAGGTGGGGCAGTGGACACGAAGCAGTCACTAGCCAGACACAGTAATCTCGTTTCCCCAACATCAAACCAAACCCGCACGACGTGGGATCGGACCCGTCCTCAGGTCATCCGCCCGGCACCGCTTCTGCACCGCTTCTGCACCGCTTCTGCACTTGGCAGGCCCTTAGCGAACACACTGGCGAACACCGGCGCTCCGCCAGATAACCACCCTCGAGCCTAGCCGATACCCGACCCTCCGCGATTGTGTCGCGTCTCTATCTAACGGCCCCAACAACCACGGCCGACACCACTGTTACCTTCCGGTTTTGCATCACTACCCTGCCCCCGAAGTTCCTGACCGAGGCCGGGGGAATGGCCGAAACGCTGTACAGCTTTTGGGGGTAATATACCAGGAGCGAACAAAGAAGCACCACACAAAGTGAGTTTGCACCGACCGCCACTCTCCAAGTCTCGAAACCACAACACCAAAAGCCCCCGCCAACAACCCCCTAATCTTGGTGTCACGACTGTCAAGGCCCGAACCGATCATCGGCACACGACCGGATCACTTGCTCTCGAATAAACCGACTCTCTGCCGCGACCGCCCGCCTTTGAAGGAGAAATGAACGATCCAGACGCGGGGAGTGTTAGACCCCCTGGCAACAGCGATGCCGCCAGTGACGCAGTGCGGCCGCCACAGACCAAGCCCAACCCCAATGATGCTAGCCCGAACCCAGCATCACCTCGCCCGCAGCAGGCCGCAGCACCCGCACCCGCTACCACGACGGCGGGGCCCGGAGACGGAGTTGAGTACGACGACTTTGGTCTGCCCATCAAGAAGTCCCTACCGCCCCCTGCTAGCCACACCGACTTGCCCGCAGACACCCCGGACGCTGGAGAGCGGGCTGGGAGGAAATGGAGCGTGAGCCTACGGACCAGGAGCGCCAGCCGCTCTTCAGCCAAGTCGACCCATTCGCACAGGAGAATGCCGTCGACCACCTCGCTGCGCGGCCGCAGGTCACGGTCGTCGAGCATCTCACATCACCAAATCGACGTGCCCGACTCCGATAGCGGCGAGGAAGACTTCGACTCTGCCGCCTCCAGACCTATGTCGCGGGCTGCGTCGGTTCAGAGCCTCCGAAGTGTGGGGGGAGACTCCATGACCCCAGTTGTCCCGAGGCTTGCCCCTGGTATTGCGTCGGTCTTGACCGAGGACCCCGCAGAGAGGACACCGACCGCACCGGTGGCCTCCCGGAAGCCGGGTGGCAAGGAGGGGGGAAAAGAAGACCAAAACGGCGACACAAATGCAAAGGAGTCGGTGACAGCCGGTGATAAGGACAAGTCGAAACCACATGCAGCCAGCCGCAGCCGGGCAACAAGCATCGCCAGCTCCGTCAGCCGCAGCCGTGCAGCAAGTGCCGCTAGTATGCGTAGCTTCAAGCACGGCCGACAAGCAAGTACCACCAGCGCGGCGGACCCGACACAACTGTCTGAATTCTCCCACCAGGCACTAGTCACCAAGAAGGAAGAGGCGACACTGGACGAAGATGGCGGATGGCAAGAAATGCCGTCATACGCGGCTTATGATATTTACGACGACGACAACAGACTTGTTGCCAAGGAATTCAACGAGGCCGAGGACGAGACGGAGAAGTACGGCTACGGCGGGCTTGGCGGCGCTGGCAAGGGCTACACCAAAGTGCTGGTGGATGACGATGCTGAGTCGGCAACGAGCATGGACGAAAACACAAACTACCTCTTCAAGGGTTCCGGAAACAGTCTCCAGGACGAGGAGGAAGCACGGGACGCCGTGTCCCAGCTGCAGGCCACCAAGGATCTGCTGACCGAGGGGCAGCGCATCGCCTACGTCGGGCTCACGCGCCTCGAGGTGTCTGCCATGACCAAGGAGTTTGAGGACATGGCGCGCACCAAAAATTCGCGCAAGGAAATCCAGCTTGCTGCCGAGGCCATGAAGATGTGGTCCCAGAAGATGATGATCCGCCTGTATGCCCACATGGAGATTACTACCGACGAGCAGATCATGATCGAGCAGCTCAGTGCCCACGGCGTCCAGCCTGCTGATCTGACCCCAGTTCTGATGGCCAACTCCAGGGTGTCGAATCCCATGGCCGGGGAGACGGAATCTCGCACATCTACTCGGGAAACGACGCCTGCCCCAGACTCGCTGGCACCAGAGGGGCCGGCCAAGGGACACAGCCGCTCTTCTTCAGCGTCCTCTATTAGAGCCGTCACTAAGGGTGGCAGCAATAAGGCCGGCCAGCAGCCTGATGAGGAGGAGGCGGCAGCCCCTCCACTCCCGTACGAGGCACATACGGTAGATGAGATGCCCGGGGTGCAGATGCCAAGTCAGATGACGCACTCGGCCAAGATTGACATTGATCTCCGATGGACGGTCCTATGCGACCTGTTCCTGGTGCTGATCGCCGACTCGGTCTACGACGCGAGATCCAGGGCCCTTCTAGAAAGAGTGGGCAAGAGCCTGGAGATCAGCTGGCTGGAGATATGCCGATTCGAGAAAAAGGTGACGGACGCGCTTGAAATGCAGCAGCAGGCCGAGAAGGAGAACTGGAACGAGGACGAGCACATGGACACACGCCGCAAACTTGCACTCAAGCGCCGGTACGTCATGATGGGCCTCGCTACAGTGGGCGGTGGCCTAGTCATCGGCCTGTCTGCGGGCTTGCTGGCCCCCGTCATTGGCGCGGGTCTTGTGGCCGGCTTCGGCGCCATCGGCGTCTCGAGTGGCACGGGCTTCCTGGTGGGCGCCGGCGGGACGGCTATCATCGCCACAAGCGCGGCCACTTCGGGCAGCATCATCGGCGTCCGCGCCGCAAACCGCCGCACGGGCTCGGTCAAGACTTTTGAGTACCGGCCCCTGCACAACAACAAGCGTGTGAACCTCATCGTCACAGTTTCGGGATGGATGACGGGCAAGGTCGATGACGTCCGTCTGCCCTTCAGCACAGTCGATTCGGCCATGGGTGACATATACTCGGTGTTGTGGGAGCCCGAGATGCTCCGGAGCATGGGAGACACCATCAACATCCTGGCAACCGAGGCAAGTCTCTTCTAACCCCTGCACTTTTCTGTGCGTTAATCTTGTACCGAAGCGTAACCTAAAGCTAACCGGCCCTTCGTTCGAAGGCCCTCACGCAAGGCCTCCAGCAGGTTTTGGCCAGCACCTTCCTTACGGCGCTCATGGCCGCCTTGACGGTACCGGTGGTCCTCACTAAGCTTTCCTACCTGATTGACAACCCCTGGGCCGTCTCGCTGGACCGAGCCTGGTCGGCAGGCTTGATCCTTGCCGACTCACTGATCGACCGCAACCTCGGCACGCGGCCGGTGACGCTGGTCGGGTATTCCCTGGGCTCCCGCGTCATCTTCTCGTGCCTTCTCGAGCTCGCTCGCAAAGGCGGTCTGGGCGTGGTGCAGAATGTGTACCTGTTCGGGTCGCCTGTTGTCGTGAAGCGAGATGATTACCTGCGCGCCCGGTCGGTGGTTTCTGGGCGCTTCGTGAATGCGTACAACCGCAACGACTGGATTCTGGGCTACCTGTTCAGATTAACCAACGGCGGCATCCGGCGTGTGGGCGGACTGGCTCCCATCGAAGAGGTTCCGATGCTGGAGAACATGGATGTGTCCCAGTTCGTGGAGGGCCACATGGACTACCGAGCCAAGATGCCGCGACTCCTGCGCGAGTGCGGCTGGCTCGTGGACAGCGACGAGTTTACAGAAATCGAGGACCCGGACCCGGAGAACCACGCGTCGCGGCAGCGCGAGCTCATCAATGAGATCGAGGAGGCTCGGAAAGAACTAGAAAACGAGGGCAAGTCCAGCAAGGGGGGATGGCTCTCGTTTGGGCGCAAGAAGAAGAACAAGAAGAAGGAGTGGGAGATTTACGAGGATGCTTCCAAGTCCGCCGCCGCCGGAGGGGCTGCTGGAGGGACCGGAGCGACGATCAGCAGGACGGAGGACAAGGACGGCAACAACCACGGCGTTCTGTTCGACGTGGATGCCATCCGGGCCGAGTTGGCCAAGGAGGCCGAGGAGCAGAAGGAAAAACCAGACCAGCTGCTGGCTGCCAAGGAGTTACCGTCGGCATTGCCGCCCATCAAGCTGAGCGTGAGCCCGATGGCGGGCGACGAAACCCCCAGCGGACTGACGCCGATAACGGCACGGCCTGTGGCTTCGCCTGCGTTCCCGCGATCACCACGCGAGAATCCGGGCGAAACGCAGAGCACAGAGGTGACGACCACCTACCGCAGCTCATTCGAGACGCGATCACCGTACGAGTACAAGCCGTCCGAGTCGGCAGCGTACGGCGGCAACGGCGTTGGGGGAGGCTACCGGTCGCCGAGCTACCACAAGGCAGTCCCCGGCATTGGGGGTGGCGGTGGGAACCTCTCGTTTGATGACGGGTTTGATGATGGCGGCGGCGACGAGATACAGATGACGTTTGACACGTCGTTTGACGAGCCGCCAGCGTCGTCGTCGTGGTTGTTCCCGCCAGCGGCTCCGCCGAAAGATACGTACAAGGCAACCCCTGTGGAGAAAGTGGTGTCGCCCACGGGCTTGTCAGTGTCATCGGGCGTATCGCCCACAAGCGCTGTGCCGAGCGCGGGCGAAGCACGGGGGCTGGCCGGGTCGCGACCGGCAATCACGACGTCGCAAACGATGCCAAACATTGGGCAGTCGAACCCGTGGGCCAACCTAGATGATGATTTCGACGACCCCGAGTTCGGGCAGGAGAAGGAGATATCCATGACTTTTGCATAGCCAAGCCAAAACCTAAAGACGAAGAAAAAAAATACAGAACACATACTGCCCCAAACCCTGCCTAGCTGTAAGGCATTCGGCCACTCCACTCGATGTGTATCCTTTCACGCGGCAGAGCTTAGAAGTTACATAATTCTGGTGACATTGCATAGGAACTAAACGCTATATGCCAGGAACCAATATTGACCAGGGCTGCTTGGCTGCAGCCGCAGCGTGCTCTTGGAGAAGCAACATAATCACACCTCCGGGGGCCGGAGGCCGGTAGTTCCCAATGGAGAAGATGGACCGAAATAGCCCATCAACCACCCCTTGCCGCCCGCGCCCGCGTGCGGGCTGTGATTTACGGTTGACCGCCTTATCTAAGAAGCCACAGTGCCACAGCAATACAGAATACAGAGCGAGTGGTTTGAACGAGGGGGGGGGCGATCAGCGGCATGTGAAGTGACCAGTGCCGCAGGATCCAAGGATTCAGAGAATGCAACGAGCATCTCATGTGCCGGGTGGCCGGCATCGCACAGAAGAGGATCGCGGTGCGGCGGGGACGGGGGAGTCAAGTCGGGTCGACTGTAAAGTGCCAAGGCGGAGATCCCACTAGATGCATGTAAGCTGCAGACCAGCTTCTGGATAATGTGTGTGCTGTATTTGGTGCAGCAGCGGCGCTGCCAGCTGCACAGCCACGCGGGGTGGAATACTACACCGTTAGTCCGCAGGTACCTCTATCTGCTCAGATAGGCAGCGCCATTACGGACTTGGCGCATGGCGATCCACGTCGTACTTTTGAGAGGCTTGCCATGACTGCCCTGCAACGATGGTCATGTGACGAGAGCGCCTAGTTCGCGCCGTAACCAGCCGGGCCTGACTTCACGGTAGCTGTTGAAGATGCCGCGGCTGACGGACCGGGCTGCGTGACCAAAGTGACAAGTGCCAGGTTTCCTGCTTGCACAGCACAGAAGTACAGGATGAGCAGACATGTCAGCAGCTGGAAGCCCGATGCGGGCTCGGCAGTCACGATGACATGGCACAGCTGGCGAGGCTGAGCTGACTGGGCTCTAGCCTTGAGACTGCCTACCATGATACCTACCTATCGATCGATACAGGTAAAGACGAGACAGAACCCCGCACAACGGCCACTTTACGCGCTGGATGGGAGGCCAGAGTCGCGCTGCTGTGATGGACGACCGCGTGCGCTTCTGAAGCGCCGGCTTTCTCCCAGCCGGCTTTCTGCCCAGGCCCTCGCCATATCTGTCGCCGTTACCGCCTTGCTGCTGTGCCGCGGCCCGAATGTTTCACTTTGAGGCGGGGGTCAGCAGCTACATGCGTGGTGGGTGCTGCGTGTTCCGTCCAGTGTGCGATTTTTGCCGTGTGGGTGAGATTTTCCGGCTGTCTTGTCAGCCAGCCATCGGGGGCCGTTTCGCTCTGTGCCCCCCGTCACCGAATTGTGCTGCTGCTGCTGCTGCTGCTACTGCTGCGCGCTAAGCCAGGGAGCAGGGCAAGGGATAAGGGATGGGATCAGCAGCGGTGAGTGGAGGATTCCTGGTGGCTGCGCCAAAAGTCTGCAGCTGACCAACAAGGAGGCGTTATGCCCTGCATACGGGGGTATTTATTTTGCCTTTGCCCCTCTCTCCGTTTCATCGCACAGCCTTGCCTAGGAGCAAAGGAACCATGAGGGCACACGGGAAGATCAAACGACGGAGGTAAGGACTGAGCAAAAACGGCATGATGTCGGCCGAGACAAGTTCACGCAAAGAAAGAGAAGAGAGGGAGAAAAATAGCTCAGCCCCCGTTTGAGGTGTGGATGTGTGTGCTGGCCCCATCCGTCTTACTGCCCCACCTCTTTTCCGTCTTCCCGCTTTTGGCAAGGCACGACATGCTTGGGCCAATCACAGCGACGGCCCCGCCAGGGTCCGCGTGTGGCCCGCTGCAGGCTGTGCCCACCGTGTGGTGCGTGTGTGCTTGCTCATGTCCGTCGTTCTTGCCGCTTGGATTGGGTGGCAGGCAACCATGTCTCGGTGCAGTTTGCCTTTTATCGAATCGACAACTGGCGTGTAAAAATGTGTGTGTGTGTGTGTGTGTGTGTGTGTGTGTGCGCGTGGGTTGCCACGCAAGCAAAGAGGCGAGAACACAAAGAAAAAAACGTATCGCGCCGGTGACCCAGTCTAGACAACGCCCCATGGCACCCGGACCAGCAAATGCCTTCTTTCCAGGTGCACGCTACTCAAAAGCTGACCAGCGGGGAGACCACTGCAGCTTTTTGGTGGCTCAGCCCTGAGCTGGCCGGGGCCATCATGCGGCCCCGACGAGCGATCCGCCGCCAAGCAAAGCGGGCGTGCGGGTCTGCCGAAAGAGACAGAAAGAGGATGTGAGTTGTGAGAGAAGAAGAATCGACGTCGTTTCTTCCGGGCATCCTTCGGGACCCCTGTTCTTCATGCCTGGGCCTGGCGCGGGTCAACGCAGGGCTGATGTGATTGGGGGGATGAGAAGGTGAACCCTTGGCTACTGCTGACAAGGCCTAAAATAATCTCGGGCTCTCTCTCTCGCACTTCCTAAGCGGGGGGATGGAAACGCAGCTGCGGGAAGGCTGCCAAGAGAGGAAGAGAGGAAGAGAGAGAGTGTGTGTGCGTGTGCGTGTGACAAGGGGCCGGCCACTGAACAAAGCCGGGGTGGCGCAGCGGCCATGATAGGCTGGCTCAGCTGGGTCCCCTGGGCACGAAGGGTGAATTGGCTTGCCCCATCTCGGCTGCGACAATGGGCAACATCAGAGGATGCGGCCGTGGAACGAACAGTCCAATGGATCTGCGTGGGTGCAGCGGCTTTCCTGGGCGCTGAACCAACAGACCCCCCCCCCCCCCCCGCTAGAGACCCATCCATCTCAGCCGTAAGCAACCATCGTTGGCACTAACAGCCAATCTGGTCTGAGCCCCCCAGTCCACCAGTCCCCTCCACCCATCTCTCCTTCTGCATGCATCCTTCCTTCGGCTTTTTGTCCCGCTATTCTTTTTCCCCGTCATCTCCCTCGCTACCGCGAGCGTGGCCGTCGACGTTCATCTCGACCCTCCAAAGCCTTTTCGGCTTGAAGTGACGAACTCATCACCAAAGCGCGGGGGTTTTTTTCCCCTTCGTTCATCATCTGGCCCGACATCCAACACTTGCTGCCTGACGCCAGACAATAGCTCGGGCGAGCCCGTTTGCGAGGGACCGTTTGGGCGGAACCGCTTGTCCGGACGGCACCGGACATTAGAGGCAGGGAATATCGATCGCTTCTCGCCCAGGTGTCGCCGACTCGACCATACCGCACCCGAACCCCATTGCTATGACGCTCTGACGTCTTCGACAACAACCAGCACTCAGAACCACAGCCGGGAGACAGACCATGATGCGATTGTGCTCGTTGGGGTTGGCCCTCCTCGGAGCAGGCTTGATCGCCACCGCCCAGGCCGAGTCCTTCCTCTTCACAGAACCGAATAGCAACATCCCTATTCAAGACAAACTCTACCGCACCGACTCTAGGGGGTTGGAGTTCAAGTACAGCTACACACGGCAAAACCCATCGAGGGTTGGCCATGCGAAAAAGGTGACCATAACTATTCACCGAGGGGAACCCACTGTTCCGCTTGCCCAGGTCAGCCTAGTATACCCCGACGTCAAATACAACGGGCCGATTTTTTCACCGATGCAAGGGCGCCCGCCGATGAGTGGGACCGAATTTTCCGGGCCGATTTTGTCAGAGCCGCCAGACGGCTTGCCGGTGGATGGGATCTACAGAATGAAGTTGAAAGAACTATCCTGGGACCCTGGTAAGGTCAAAGAAATCCACATGCGCCGAGAATCACTTGGCTAACTCGGGTGTTTAGAGGCCCGAAATGTGTCTGGCACCGTAACTATCATTGACGCGGCCAAACTTGCCACGAGCCTCTCTCGCAGCATAGAGCAGACTCCACCTGAGCTATTTTTCGACCTCAGCTTGGAGGTTCCCAGCACCAACTCTCCGGAGCTAGATACGACAGGAAAGATTAAAACGCGGCAGAATAGCAACGCGGCAAGGTTTGGCCTGGCCAACGAGGCTTTGAGCCAAAACAATGATGCTTTTGAGAAGCAACAGGGTCTATTCTTCTCCAATGGGGGCGGCGGGGGTACGGGTGTCGACCCTTCAAAACCCACCACGTCTGCAACAACAGGAGGTGCTCTGCCGAATGGCACAGCTTCGCTGTCAGCCGATAGCGGCATTTCCACCGGCGCGATCGCAGGGATAGCTGTTGGCGCTGTCCTTGGCGCCCTGCTGATTGGGACTGCTCTGGTATGGTTCTTTGTGCGTCGCCGGCGTCAGAACAAGGCAGGGAAGGCAGGCCTCGGCTACAACGGCGGGTCCACAAGGTCGGGAGATCTCGTGGCGGAGAAGGAGGCCAACGCCATCGTCGCCGAGAGCCCGCGGTCGCCCTACTCGGAAGACAGGACCCACCGCGACAGCACCCTGGCCGCGGGCGCGGGGGAGACGGCGGGCGACTACCAGCCCTACAGCGACAACCCGACGGCGACGGCCAACGCTCCCCCGCCGGTCATCGCCGCGCCCGTCGCCCGGGCCGCCTCGGCCAACTCGAGGTCCACCGCCGACCGCTCCTCCGCCGCCTTCCCGGCGTCCGCGCCACCCCCCGCCATCGGCGAGGATGGGCTCCCGCCGCGCTCCGACACGGGCATGTCTGGGCGGTACGCGCATCTCATCGAGGACAACATGACGGCCGACGAGATTGCCCGCCTCGAGGAGGAGGAGCGCCAGCTGGACGTTGCCATCGAGCAGGCGCGCGGAGTGACAACAAAATAGTTGCGTCTTTTCCCCGCTCAGCCAAGGTCAAAGCCTTCATCCTTTCTTGTTCATTTTCTTCTCCTTCTTCTTGGGCTGTATATGGAGAAAGGAGTTTGTATTGTATTTAATGAAGCCTGGTTCTGGCCCTGACTGTTTGTGGGGTTGTTTTGTGGCTCATAGCGCTTCAACCGTTCGTTTCCTCGCCGGGACTCAAGGGAATACATTGTGTTCTTGTTCTTGTGTTGCTTGTGTTGATATGTTCGCAGTCTCTGTTTCGATGTTATTGCCTGTGATTTGACTCGTTCGCTTGCTCATGGCCACCAAGCGACAGACGACGTTGGTATAGGCTGCGAGTCTGCGAAACTTCAAACATGGAACATGGGACGAGCAGGGGAAGCCCTGGCAGGGAACCGCTTTGTGGCAACAACAAGCTTCTACGCAGGCGGTCCTCATCCGTCCCATCACTTTGCGTCGGGCCGCACGTCCTCGTTAGCCTCAAGCATGGCGTCGACGTCGTACCCGACCCGCCTGGCCCTCTCGACGAGCGCCCGCGCCCTCCGGACGACGGGCGCGTCCACGACCTCCCCGTCCAGCACCCAGGCGCCCAGGCCCTCCCGCTCGGCCACGGCGCTGGCCGCCACGACGCGGACGGCCCAGGCAGCCGCGGCCGCGGGCACGCCGAAGACGCGGTGCACCGTCGCCAGCTGCGACGGGTGGATGACCTGCTTCCCGTTGAAGCCCATGCTCCGGCCGTTCTCGCACTCCTCCTCCAGCCTCGTCCTTGTTGTGGCCGTGGCCGTGGCCGTGTCGGGCGGTGGGGGCGGGGCCCGGTCCAGCTGGGTGCAGACCAGGTCGACGACGCTGGGGACGCCGTGGGCGCGCGCGGCCGTCACCATGCGCGAGCGCGCGTACACGAACTCGCCGAGCGACGGCGTGCGCTCGGCGCCCAGGTCGCGCGCAAAGTCCTCGGCGCCAAACACGATGCCCGACAGCGCGCCCGGCCGGCCGTCGTCGTCGTCGTCGACGACGCCGGCGCGGCAGATGTCGCCGAGATTTTCGACGGCGCGCGCCGACTCGATGAGCGCCATCAGCGTCACGGGGCGGTAGCCCGGCCCGCCGCCCAGGACTTTGGGCTCCTGCCGCTGCCGCTGCGCCTGGTACCGGGCCTCCTCCCAGGCGATCCGGCGCTCCACGTCGCAGCTGGCGATCATCTCCGCCGCGGCCCGCACCGTCTCGGGCCCGTCGACCTTGGGCAGCAGGATGGCGTCGACGGCGGGGAGCTTGGTCATCTCGAGTATGTCACGCATCCCGTGCGTGGTCGCCCTCGGGTTCGTCCGCACCGCTATCTCCCTCGGCTGGCCCCCCTGATGGCGGCGGAGGGAGCCGAGGTGTTGGGCCAGGGCCTGTCTGGCTTCCGACTTCCTGCCGTCGACGACCGAGTCCTCGAGGTCGTACGTCACATTGTCGCTCTCGTAGCTGAGGGACTTTTGGATCATGCGGGGCGACGAGGCCGGGACTAGACCGCGTTAGATGAAGCGCCCCCCTCAAGAGCTTGCGTCAGGCGCATTTACCATAGAAGATGGCCCGCCGGAGTAGCTGGGAGGAAGCCATGATATACGGCGGGGTTTGACCGACAGGTTCCGTCTGTCCTGTGATGAGAATTCGACTTGGAGACCTAAACGTCTATATCTCCCACTAGCAAGTAGGCGCTCAGGGGTAGACCATTGAGGAACCGAAAGTTTTGAGACTAATATGGCCACCAGACTCTGTGAATGGATGCTTATTGGAGGTGTTCGCTCAGAGGGGAAACGACGAGTAGCGAGCACGCTTAACTCGTCTCGTGGATGAGCCCTAGCTTCAAGTTTCCGTCTGCCCAGCAGCAGACATACCTTCAATACCTTTGGTTGTCAGGAAAAGGGCGGAAGCATTGCAGGCCTGGAAAGCAAGGGTCTGCCCCCTCTCGATAAGCGGGCCCAGATAGGCTCGCGTCATTGGATTGCGGTTGGTGGAGCCGTGAGCTTGGGGCAACGCAGCAGGGGTCCACTGTGCCCACCAGAAGGTGCCACACTCGGACATCACAGGTCCCGGTAATGCTTGCGCCACAGCTGGAACCTTTGGATTGGTGATGACACGCGGCATAAGCCTCACCCAGCTCGATCGGCACAGCACCCACCACCAAGAAGGACACAACTCTGCGACGACCGCGGCCACGACGCACCACCACGATCCAACCCCAACCCTCCCCCAACGTTGTCGATACCTGCCCGACAAAACCTCCTCGCCGCGGCCAAAACACACTCATCGAAAGAGGGCGCGCAATACGGCCTTCTGTCGATTGGAAGCCCCAGCTCCGCGCCCCGGTTTCCTCCCACCAAGCTCGCTGCCCGCCCCCCCCGGCCCGCCGCCGCCGCCGCAGCACGCGCCCCGGCAAGACGAGCAGGCTCCCGCCAACGGCGCATCATAAACCTCGGCCACAGAGTCAACGCCCGACGGCGCACACGACACCACCGCCCGCCATGATGGAGGCACAGCAGCAGCAACCCGCGCCAGGCTCCCTGAGCTGGAAGCTGAGCTCGCACCCCATCACGCTCCTGACCTTCCTGGCCTTTCGAGTCGGTACGCCTGCGTCGTCGGACCCCCCTCCCTCCCCTTCCACCCCGCACGCCCTCCCTCCTCCCCCTTCCCAATGGGGCGGTAGACTAACGTCTGACGATAGCAAGTCTGCTCGTGTACCTGTTCGGCCTCTTATTTACCGATAACATGTGAGCAAGCGACTCCAGGCCCCCTCCCTCCCCACTCCCAACCTGAGGCATGTCTCGATCCTGACAGGGCCCTCCCCCCATCCCAGGGTCATGATCTTCATCATCACCATCCTCCTCCTCGCCGCCGACTTCTACTACCTCAAGAACGTCGCCGGCCGCCGCCTCGTGGGCCTGCGCTGGTGGAACGAGGTCGACCCGCAATCGGGCGAGTCGCACTGGGTCTTTGAGAGCAGCGAGCCCGGCACCAAGATCATCAACCCGACCGACAGCCGCTTCTTCTGGCTTGCCATCTACGCCCAGCCCTTGCTCTGGGTCGCCCTAGCCGTCTTGGCCGTGATCCGGTTCAAGTTCATCTGGCTGCCACTCGTCGGTGAGGCGCTTTTCTCAATTTTTAATTTTTTTTGGCTCTGCCTACTCGTTCCCCCCTTCCGTACCATCATATGAACCAATTGCTGACAGCGACCGTCCCCCTGAAAAAAAAGCCATCGCGCTCGTCCTCACCATCACAAACTCGCTCGCCTTCTCCCGCTGCGACAAGTTCAGTCAGGCCTCCAACATCGCCGGCAGCGCCTTCTCGACCGGCAATATCGCCACCAGCATCGCCACCGGCATGGTCGGCAGGTTCTTCTCAAGGTGATACCGGTACCTTCACTTCGCTTGATGTTTGCGCGAAGAAAGGGGGCAAAGTTGCAGCACGCTGCTATCGTTGGCTCCACGTGTGTCTCGATGAGTGGCGGAAAAGAATATGTACACAAAAACAAATCATCGAATCTCCTTGTTATTTTTGGTTACAATCAGGGTCTATCACTGTATTCTACCGTAACTTGGCATTGACCTTTTGCTTTCTTGCCCTTCCCCCGCTTTCGTTTCTTCCATGTGTTCCCCATGGCTATTGTTTTACCAATCTATTAGCGGTAAAAAAAAAACTGGTAGGACAGGGTTTTTTTTGGGGCCAAAAAAGTCCAAAATATCTAAAATTGCGGCTCCCTCACCATCCCAACTCTCAAGCCCAAACCGATGCTCGTTGTGTTGCCGAACGACGTGGCTGTTTTTGCATCGGTAGTGATGCCAGAAGAGGACACCATCATCATGGGCGTGAGTACGAACACAGGCAAACGGAACGATCGTGGTGTCTCTCCCACAGACTGGCTTCTGTTACAACCACATGCTGCTCGACATGGGGGGAAAGGAAGAAAGTAGGCTTGCAGAATAGCGTCCAGGTAGAGTGAGACTCGGTTGCCGTTACCAGCCTCGCAGATCTACCCCATATATACTCGTATTTGCAGAAGGGCAGCCACCCTCCACAAGTGATCGCATCCCTCTAACCCTCCAGCCCTTTGCCTCTTGTCGAGCTTCAGCAAAGACCCAAGACCAGCCTACCGCCGAGGAATGGAGGGTATGGGCGTCAATTTTAACGGGCTGAGGTGCCGAGGGACTGGACCGTACTAGGACCAGAAAATACCGGGAAATCTCTTGAAATCATTGAATGTATCTCGTTTCTAGACCTTGAACTCGGCCTCAAAGCCAAAGACAAGAACCAAGTAAGCCAACCCAAGCTGCATCAGATCAACCCGCCGAGCGTGTCAAATGATGACGGTGTCCCATGTTCTGTCTGGAACCGCTGAATACAAAGTGAGAGGTCGTCGTGATGATAGGAAACAAAGGACTCGAAGGTCGGGAGTAAAAGGGCATCGCAACAGTCATGCTGCTATGTGCGAGTAACGAAGCGGAGTGTAGATGCCATCTGTGTGACTCTGGGGAAAAGACAAAACGCCGAAAATAGAACCCGCAGTAGAACCCATATAGTAGATAGAAAAGGAAAAACGTGAAGCCGAATGAACCAGGCTTGCGTCGGACAAATCCCAGAAACCCTATGCTGTGGCAATAAAAAAGTGATAATGTGCAATCCGTCCTTCCCGTGCGCCGGTCTTGTGATGATCCGTGGGGATGGAATCGCGGGTTGTGCAAACCTCGCCAGGTAAAATAGATAGTAGAGAGGGCCCTTCGGGACGAAGTCGAATAGAGGAGGAGGCCAGAAGAGGATGGAAAAGATGTGAGAAATAGAAAAGGGCGAAAAGAAGATAAGAAGCAACAGAAAAGCAAGAAGGCAGAGAATGCGCCGAATCTTCATCCACTTGGAGATGTGATATGCGGTGTGACGCTCCCACCAAAATCTTTACTCCTCCCTGAAATGCCCTTCCCTTTTCACCTTATGTCGAGTTGGAAGGGCTTGAAGCGACCACCGATAGTGGCGCACCGGGGACATTTCCTCCTAGCACCCTGCTCGCTCATCAAAACCTCCACGCAGGCCGGGCAGAGACCCGATATGCATTCGGTGCACGCATACGACTCCTTGAGTAGCGAGACGCCCTGGCAAGCGGCGCAGTATATCTGGGTGTTTTGCGACGAGTAGCTCGGGGACGAGTCCGAGAGGCCGCGCGACTCCATGTGGAAGTTATCGCCGCTCTCGCCGCTCTCGACAGAAGGGAAAGGATCGGGCACCTCCTGGATGTAGGAGGGAGGAGTCAGGGCCTGCTGCAGGGGCGAGGCCTGGTAGCTGGCCTGGTTCGGGAAGGGCTGCTGGGTAAGGGGGGGCAGGGACGCGCGGTGGACGGATATAGGGGATTGAGGTACCTGATAAGTCAGGGCCGGGTCGATCAGATAGGGGCTGCGTGGACCTACAGGCGTCCTGTCCTCGTCAATGTCTTCTGTGGCGGATGCTGCGGCGTCGATCAGGTCTTCCCATCGTTTTCCGTAGTCGGCTGTCGGCTCGGCCGACTTTGCCTTGCTGAACGGATCTCCGGGTCTAAGGCGATCACCCGGCCCCAGCCCGCCGACAATGTGGTTGCTCGGATCGTTCTGGATACGACGGAGCCAGTCCGCCGCCGTGCCCCTCGACCTCTGCTTTTTGTGATGGGCTTCCCTGCCTCTTTTAGTGACCGACTGCTTCCGCGGGCGGGTGGGGCCAAGCGGCCGCTGCAGAGGCGGGAGCGTCGAGGATCGCCCCGGAGGAGATGTTGACAGAATTGATGGCAGTATGTCCCTCTGTCGACTAGCACCACCCAACCCGCCAAAGGGCTCGCTTGTGATTCCAACACTGGGCAAGTGAATGGGAGGAAGCTCGATCGAAGCCCTCGTCATTCTTCCCTTTTCTGTATCAGAGTGCCAGCCCTGGAGAGTGGCGAGAAAAAGCACTCCGTGTTAGTGGTCCAGAGAATTGGTCAGACAACATAGCAACTTTGATTAATACGTACAGCATCTCCTGTTTCCCAATCGGGCTCCAGACTGGGGTGGCTGTGGAGCTGCGCCAAGGCGGCCGCGGCGCTGCTAGCTGCCGGGAGCATCTGGGTAACTGGAGGATAATCGTCGGGGTTCCGAGGGGTGGCCGGGGCGCTTGTGTTATCGTCTCGACGAAAACCATGTTGTCGGTCGTGGGGGTAGCCGGGTTTCAGATGGTCAATTGCCGGTGGGCGAGGGCCTGGTGCAGCGTTCGGTGGCGGTCGCTCGCTAGGTGGTGTGTTGATCATGAGATGGAAGCTTTCCTCTGTGGCAGGGAGCTTGGAGATGTAATGCTCGGGATGCGCTCGGCGGATATGCTCCTGCATGGAGCGATACCTCTTCTCCTGTAAGCCAGGAAAGGATGAATGACAGGCAGTCGTCAGCAGGGGTTTCTCAATTGAGAGCCTAGGTCCAGCCTCAGCGCCGTAGCAGCAAAGCTGCCATTTGTTTGTTGCTGTCCAATATCTGGGTTCTCGAACGCGCGCAGATCTGGGATGGACCCCCGAGGCATGTTCCTCAAGGCGGATGGCCAACGTAACGTCGATCGGCAGCACCGACTGGACCGACTCGGAGAGCGGCCATTCGACATCGCCAGGGGCAGCAGGAGATGCAAAAAGGAACGGCGCAGGACATGGGCAGGTAACGACTTACGCCGATGCACCGCTTGCGACAGCTGGAGCCATCTTGGTTGCGCAGCGGACAGACGACCTCGTTGTTGGAGTCGGTTACGGAGAACGACGACGTCAATGATGATCGGGGCGGCATCTTGACCCCACCATGCGATGCGGAATCGAGGGGTTGGACGCTGGGCCGAGAGATTGCGGCGGGGAGGTTGGACGATAAAGCTGTCGATAAGGATGGTACTCTTGGATTGCGGGCTGCGAGGCCGCTTCAATTGCGGCGGCAGCGTGCCTGCGGGTTGCGGGTTGTGCGATGGATATGAGGTGGCCGAGAGGTTGGCCGAAGCTGTCGCATCAATTCAATGCGACGAGAACTGGAGCTTTGGGGGAGAAACAGGCGCTCAAGGTTGGAGACAGGCAGAGCACTGCGGCGGGTTTGGAGCTGTCGGGGGCAGGCGTTTAGGTTGGTTGTGAGGAAGGAGCTCAGAGCTTCCCCCAGGGAGGTGTTACAAGAGGCGTTTCGAAGAATGTGGGTGGCAGCGAGTTGAGGCGGTAGGTGGCGGCAACTCGATCAAGCACATGAGGAGACTCGAGACGGCAGTACGGCACTCCAGCAGCTCCCATGGCCCGGGTGGCTGCTGACAGCAGAGGTTGAAGGGACGAGACGGGAGAACAGCGACGGCGTGCCTGGCGGTGGTGCAGGTGCTGGCTGGGCTGGGGATGAGCAAGCAGGAGGCAGCAGGGCGGGTGGGTGGAGCACTGCACCTGCACTGGGGTCGTGGAATCGAGGGATCAGCCGGGGTTCATGTGGTCATGAGGTAGTGGTACAAAGGCGCCACTTTGTGCATTTCAGCTTCCCAGGGGAGCTCCCAGGGGCTACGCCAGAGAGTCAGGGCTAGCTTTGGGTGGCTTGGGGTGGTGGCTTGGGGGCAGAGGTACCTGAGGTACCCGCCGAGTCACTGGGAGTCTCGCAGCGGGTGGAGGTCACACGCGTCCGAAAACAGCAACTGCTGATAGGAGCTGTTTGTGCAGGCCGGGCGAATAGCAGCAGAATACAAGCAGCCGTTCCTCACGCACCACAAGCTTCCCCTCCTTTCCGGCCTGTCGTTTGAGCCCCGGGTCCTGCTTGGTCGATGGAACCGGCCAAGGTGACGGAAGCGCTCCACCCCGCTTCTGGCTGCGCCTGCCTGACGTAGCGAGCGCATGGGTGAGACGGGTACCAGTATGTACTTTGCGCATGTATGCAAAGGGGGGTGGGGTGGCTTCACAATAGATCGTGGACCCTTTGAGCCGTGACGACAAGGCAGCTAGCTGGAAAAAGCCGACCATTCCAGCCATGAACCAGAGGCAATGTCGCCCATGACAAAGGGAGCAATAACCTGACACCCTGACTGCCCTGAAGAGTCGAGGAGCAAATTGATGGCTCGGTAGACACGACAGCGCTGGTTCGGGAACGACCCGATCACGTCATGCACCCAGATAGGCTCCATGCCTTGGTAGGTGGCCTCCGCACCCAGGGAAATATGCTTCCTCCCGCAACCCAGCCCGGCCTTGTCGCTCGATTGCCATCTGGGCGCACCAAGACTCGGGACGCGCATCGGTTTCCCCCATCGAAAGAGTCGGCCGACTCCAAGACAGTCCAGCATCCCACATGGACGAGTTCCGACGGGTCCCTCCCTGGCCATTCAATCGAGTCGCTGCGCGGTTCCGATGAGGGCGAAAATCAATCTGACCGCCCTCTCGCAGCAGTCATGGGTTCGCAGGTGGTGAGACTGCCGAATGTACTCCCACATGTCACCGCCTCTGGGCCAGCCAGGGTTCACGCAGGAGCTCGTGCAGGGAGGGTCCGCAGCGCCAGGGCTACCGCAGAGAATGTCGGGTTGTCCCAGTGTTTAGTGTCACTCATTGCTGGCGCCTGAACCTGACAACTCAGTTCGTTTCTTTCATCCCCTGATATGATGCCTCGTGCCAGGCGCAAGTGCGAGAAAGTACGGACACGCGCTGTTGGCGCACTTGACTGCAAATAGCACCTACCTAGGTGGGCACTGCCTAGGTAGGTGCCTAGCTAGTAAGAGGCACACCCAGTCAGCTGCCAGCTTCTCCTAATAAGGTAGTCCAGCAGTGGGGTGACCGAGACCAGATGAGCAAGCTCTGGGCGTGCGCCGAGGATAGGTTTGGAGATGCCCTCTGTTGCCGGACAGTACAACTCCCGCCAGCTGCAGTCACAGATGCAACCTATCGTAAATCTATCTTGGCAGTAAAATGCAGAACCGTGGGGTGGACCAACCAGACGACTGATTTCGGACAGCCGTTGGAATATCGACGTTTGCCTGCCGGAGATTCCCAACTCAACCAGGGCTGCCAGCTCGCCCACAGCGCTGCCAAGGCAGGCCACATGTACTGATGAGTTATCGCCAGTCGTATGACATGGCTGGTGTTTAAACCTGCGGTGTGAAAGGGCCAGCCTGTTGTGGTGGCTTGCAGAGCCCAGCTGGCCGATGGGTCAATCCAAACGGATAAAGTTGTCGCCTCCCGCCTTGATTGAAATTGAAACGTCGACTCAGGTGGTGCTGCTGGACGGGACTCGAGAGCTGAGGCAATAAAGCGGGGTGCCCAGGCTGGTGGGGCCTTATAGTTGCACTGGGACAAGCCCCAGAAACCCATCAACGCACGGCAGCGGATAAAGAAGGGCTCTCACCACGCGGCACCCGAAGATGCTCTTTATTCCCTGTCCGTACCCCACTCCCTCTTGCCAGCCCTCATTCCGCTGGCTTCCCCGTCTGTTTTCGTCCCTTTGATAGCGGTTCCTTCGTGCTGTTTCTTTATTTATTTTCCATTCCTACAAAGGGTTTCGCCCTCCGCGTTTCCAAGCAGCCCGCGTCTAGCACCTCTCGACGACTCCTGCTTCGCATTCACTGCCGTCGTTTTGCCGGCCCCATCTTATTCTTACCTGGTTCCCTATATGTGAGCCTCCACCGAGCAGCGTGCCCTGTATTTGAGGCAGCATTCGGCGGCTGCAACGCTGTTCTTGGAATTGTCGTGACCGATACCAGGCCCTCGCTCTTTCTGGCTTGGCTCGCGTCGCTGTCTCCCCTTCCCAACACAGCAGACAGGTGAAGCAGCCAAGGCTGATCCTGATCCATCTAGGAAACCCAAGGCCCTAGAAACTCGATTTCTCAGCGTCGAAACGTTTGGCACACCTCGACAGTCTGCTATTTTTATCTGAGAGTAGCGTGCCATCACAGTCTGGGGCACCCCATGGCTTGCCGTCAGTCGCGTGCTTGCGTGGCCCGGCTGGACTTCCACCACTGAGCAGGATTGCGAAACTCTTGGCCTGGCTCGATTTTCGCCCCTCGAGGGGCGGTCCCATGGCAAAGCCGGGGCACGGGCTGGCGTGTCTGACCTGGGTTCGCAGAGGCCGATGGGGCCAATCGCCGCTCGATCAACCCCTGGCTCCTCTCAGCCGTCAATTCGCCTCGACCTGCCTGCATGCATGTTTCGAGCTAGGGACTCTCCAGGCACAAATCGGCAGATGCGACGGGAAACCCAACCCGTCCACCCAACTGAAAGAAGCAAGTAAAGTGGGGTAAATGTCTCTGGTCTGATTGGCTGCTCCCGGCATTTGTGGCCAATGATTGGCTACATTTTTTAAAGTGTGCTGTTTTTTGTTTTCAGTTGGTGCCGTCCTGAAAAAAAGGGGCCGCCAACCGATGTGACTAGGCGGAGGAGACACCGACGGCCCAATGCTTATTTCGTTCTCGCCTGCTTGCTTTTTTCCTTCCCTGGACTGTTCTTCCGCATTATCGGACACCACCATTGCCCCGGCTCGGACAAGGTCCCAAATGTCCAAATGTCAAATCCAATAGTCCGGCGACGGGGACTCTCGGCTACATGGCCTTTCGGAAATCAGCCCTGCGGGGGAATTTAGTTCGAGCCCAGCTTTTGCCTCTCCACGCCGTCGCGGGTTTCAAAACACTTCTCTCGCGTGCCCCTTCGCACCCTTGGCTTAGCTTGCCTGGCGCTATAGTATGCCGTCTCGACTTGCTCTTCTGGAATACAAGCCCTTGCAAACTCTGATCTGAACGCTGATCCATCCCGTCTTGTCTTTCCACGACGTCCGTCCCCTGCCCCTCTCTAGCGATCGTCCGCCCGCCCACTCTGGCTCTGGGCATCCAGCCACGAACACTATTAAAGGCCCGGCGGCCACATTGACCTTCCAGATTGTGCCGCGACGCTGCGCCGGGAGACTGCCTTTCCCAGGCGCATCCCCAGACACAGTATCCCCAAGCCAGGTGCATGGGAAAACCATGGATATACCCCCTCGAGTCTAGTAACTCGGCCACTTGCCTCAACCGTCGGTCTGCCGCGGGTATCAGCCGGCCATGGCCCTGACCATCAAGCATCTCAATGGTGATGCTTCGTTTCTCCTCTCCTTCGAGCCTATCCTCGCGCCGGGGCCGCGCGACCCCGCCATCATCGATGCGTCGCCCTTCCGCATCCTCATAGATCCGTGGATCACCGGGCCCTCGACCGTGTTCCACTCTAAGATCTCCATATCGAGGCACAAGAATCCGGCCTGCGTTGCGTCCCTCCAGGAGCTTCCCGAGCCGGACCTCGTCGTCATATCGCAGCACAAGACGGACCATTGTAACGAGGCAACCCTCCGCCAGCTGCCCGCAACCGGCACCAAGACCCTGATCCTAGCCGAGCCGGCCGCGGCCCGCGTCATCAAGTCCTGGAAGTACTTTGACCGCGAGAAGATCCGGACCATACCCAAATGGGGAGACTCGAGCTTTTCGGCCAGGCAGTCCGTCGTCAGGATACCCGTGCCGCCCTTGCTGGCCGGCGGTGAACCGGGCGAGGTGACGGTAGCTTTCATCCCCCAACGCCGCGACATATCCGGGCTCCACAGCGCCGTTGGCATCACGTACCGCCCTCCGGCCTCGTCTCTGTCCTCGTTGCCTCCTCAGCCGTCGGGCGCGTCCTTCAAGAGGAGCCTCCTCTTCCCTCGCTCCGCCAGCCCTGCTCCGACCGTCTCTTCAATCCTTACGCCGCCCGAGACCCCGAGGTCGACCCGGTCCTACATGATCTCGCAGCCGCGCCAGCAGTCCGGCGCGGGCCGGGATCCGCGCCACCCGGCCCTGCCACCGACGCCGACGTCGCCGGGCCTCTCGTTGCGGTCGCTGCGGTCTTCGCGCTCGGCGTCCTCGCTCCGCCTCTCGCGGCAGCTGTCCCTGCTCTCGACGGGCTCGGCGCCCCCGCGGTCCCTGTCGCTCCTGTACTCACCGCACGGCATCTCGACGGCCTCGCTCTCGTCGTACGTCACGGGCCACCTCGCGCCCGAGGGCGCGCTCCCGCTGACGGCGCTGCTGCACTGCTTCGACGCCGTCAGCAACCCCTGGTGGCTCGGCGGCAACATCTTGCTGGGCGCGCCCGCCGGCCTCGAGACGGCCACGGCCCTGCGCGCCCGTGCCTGGGTCTCGGCCCACGACGGCGAGAAGGAGCTGCGCGGCATCGCGACGGCCCTACTCAAGACGAAGCGCTACCGCCGCGAGAACATTGTCGAGGCCGCCGCCGACGATGATAGCGGCGGTGGTGGAGATGCGCTTGCGCATGCCGACGCGGATGGGGGCGCTGGCGGCAGCGACGCGGCCAGCAGCCGGCTCTCCGTCGCGGGCAGCGATGTCAGCACGAGGGCGAGGCCCACCGAGGTGCTGGCGCTCGGCATCGGCGAGCAGGTCGTCATCAGCAACGACGGCGTTTGGAACGCCGAGGCCGCGCCGCCGCCGCAGCCGCCGCTCCTGGAGGAGCCGGCTGAACCGACGTCGTGCTGCACCCCCGGCCTTGGCTGCCTGACATTGAATCCCGAGGCGGCACCCGTCGTCGGTGTTGGCGATGCAGGCTTGGACGGGTTGGGCACCCGTTGAGCATGACGGAGCGAGCTGTGGCACACTTATGGAGCATTGAGATTCTACGGTACCCCTTCTTCTGTTTTATCTTTTTCACCATACATCTTTGTATTCTCCCACTTTTCTTTCGGCACGCTTCGTTCTCTTCTTCCTCTCCTTTGCCACTTTTAGGTTAGACATTCTTCCTCTTCTTGCTTTTCCTTTGGCGTTCAGGATTCCCCCCGCAACCAGGGGCTTTTATGTATAGCGAACAGTGTGTGACTCCCGGATTTCGGGTCTAGATGATACCACTTGAGAATTCGAACAAGACCCTCTGCACAGGGCATGAAAGGTTGGATCCTACAAGCATGTTTTTTTTTACTCTCGCGGGGCGCGAAACATGCGAAAGCGCCAGACCTTTCTTCATGCTTGAAATTCACCAGCAATGTTACCCTCTGTAGAAAGGATGGTGTCGAATAAGCGCAGGGGACGGGGTATCCCTTCAGTCTTTAACCTTCCTCTCTGCCTCTCTTCCTCCCGATGTGTTAGACGTCTAGGTAGCGAAAGGCTCAATGTATCTTGCGTGGCCGAGATCTTTTGCCGACGAAGCAAAGAAACCGCTAATGCCAGCCGGGGGAAAAAAAAAAAAAAGAGACTTCTCAATGCGAAAAAAAAAGAACCAACACTTAGGACTAAAAATACAATTACCCTGTCAGGTAGGTGAACCCGACTCGCCCGCCTCGCTGGTCGAGCTGCCTAGCCCAGCACGCCCATTTCCAGACGTGTGCGTGCACATGGCGAGCCTTGTCTCTATCTAAGCTGCTTCAGGATCTCGGTCAAAAAGTCCTCGAAGCTCAGGGTGATGTAGCCGTCGCGGTCGTCGTCGTAGCGCTTGAAGACGTCAGTCATGCGCTTGAGCGAGATGCAGCTCTGGACGAAGAGGTCGAAGCTCATGACGCCATCGCCGCGCTTGTCGTAGGTGCGGAAGAGCAGCTCGGTGAAGCGGTCCGAGAGGCGGTAGCGGAAGGCGACGAGGGCGTTGCGGAACTCGTCGAGCGAGATGTTGCCCGACCGGTCCGCGTCGAAGCGGTCGAACAGGGCGCGCCAGCTGGCCAGGAAGGACCAGAGCCCGCAGAACTCGTCGAAGCCGATGGTGCCGGACCGGTCGCTGTCGAACATGCGGATCATCATGCGCACCGTGTGCGGGTCGAAATGGCTCCAGTCGCCGTTGACGAGCGCGGTCGAGAGCTCTTTCTCTGAGAGCTGGCCGGTGCCTGTTGTTGAGGGAGAGCGTTAGGACGAGCGCGTTGGAGACGGCGGGGGGTGGCGGCAAGGAGAGACAGAACAGAGCCATCAACTCACCACTCTTGTCGACGGCCCTAAACAGCGGCCTCAGGGTCGGGTCGGCGCCCTGGTTCTCGGCGGGGGCGGGGCTGGGGGGCGGGCGGCTGGAGATGGGCGAGCGGATCTGGTGCTGAGGCGGCGGCCTTCCCGTGGGCGGCGGGCTCGGGCCTGGGCCTGGGCCATAGCTTCCGCTGCCGCCGCCATAGCGCGGGTCGGGCCCGGATGGCCTCGAGTCGGGCCGGGGCGGGGGCGGCTTGCTCTCGTAGCGCGACGTTGCGGGCTGCGGGTTGGGTGAGGGAGACTTGGGCTTCTGACGGTTGGGAGAAAAAGAGGACGCTGTTAGTGTGGTGCTCGCTCAGGCTGAGGCGGCTTCGCGTTGCGACTTACTTGGTCCGGCTCGGCGAATCTGGCAGCGACAAGGCGCACCAAAAATTAGCACGTGGTCGTCTGGATGGTTGGATAATTGCGCCCCAACTCGGCCCGCGCGACTGTGTCGTCTCACCTGGGGAGCTCGTCCGGGTTGTACGGTCTGTTGTACGCCATTTTTGTACGGTGATATTCAGAGCGCTATGGATGTGTGTTGGGTTGTTTTTTTTTGGAGGCTGTCGCCAGGAGGTGGGGGTGTGTGTTGACGGCGGTGTCTCGGTGGGTGGGCAGCAATGGCGGGGAGGTGCTTATTATGGGTTTAAAAAGAGGGCGCTCGATCCTTTTAACTCGGCAATGGGTTGGGCGCGCGAGGGACTCTTCTCGAAAGAACGAGTAAGAAAGGGGCTAACACTCAGCCGCAATTCTCCCTTTTCTTGGTGACCAGGCAGGCAAGAGAAGCAAGTCACTTGGAACAGGTAGCATGTTTTAAGGCTGCGGGTGAGTCCGAGCTGATGCGGCAGGATTTTATGTCTCGAGGACCGAAACATTGTAACCAGGGTCCACGATTGCGGGGCAGCGCTGACGGCCGTGTTCCGTCCATTGCGGCTGCCGTGGAGAGGACTCTCGAAGACGGTCGACTGAATCAACAGCACGGAGTCGGCCAGAGGTAACTAGGTGTAATCTTGCC